CTTAAGCTATCAATGCATGGTCTGGAATAGCCTTCATAGTCTTTGGGTACAGAGGATTTAGCACTGCATTTTATTCTTGATGAGTTCAAAGCATGACTTCATTTAAACCATTAGCTATGGGACCAGCCTCGTATTTCCACCTTCCCTCAGTAATGCTGTGATCACTTTTGAGAAATTTCTCACTCACTTAAGAAGAAGGTTTAAGGTTAGGTTTTGTTTGTGAAGAAAAATTCTTACTTTAGAAATTGTTCCAATCTTTTGCCCAGCAAGTTTGATAGCCTTCAGAGTATTCTATGGTAGTAATTTCTTCTGTTTAACTTCACAGGCTTAGAAAAAAGCAAAGCAGAGTATAGGTGTAAATCTGATTTTTCAGGAAAGACCATTTGGTGATTATTTATGCAAAAGGCAAAACTATCTTTTTAAAATTTCATTATTGTTACAGTAGACCCTGCAAAACAAACCTATATAAACTCTAAATAATGGGAAAATCAGGACTCAGTAATTATTACGTAGCACCAAAACTATTGAAACTCTGGCAAATTTAATTTTACATGAGATGTGCTCATGTTTGGTAACCATGATATTTGATCACTGCTGAGTAATATAGATTGCCTTTTTTTAACAGGAGTTTCCTAAAAGAAACCAAAGATCCTTTAGACATTTTGCAAATAAAATCTCACATTTAGTTGTTGCCAGGATGCTGACTGGCATATCCATATTGTGAGACCACACAAGGGTTCTTAGCACACATTCTTGAAACCTGCAATAGTTGTCTCTTCAATACTATTGAAGAGGCAAAAATAGACTTTGTTCTTCCCTTTATAATCTTGGAATGATCTTTCACCTGGTAGTATGCTCTCAGCTTTTATGGCTTTACGTTCATCTTAGCAGCAGCTTTATTCCAATCATATTCTTTGTTCCAGTAGTCTACATGAAAGTATTATTCTGTTCCTGGTCCTGTGCAGCACTGTGTATTCCTGACAAGAGGTGCACTGTGCAGTGTCAGTGCACAGCCATGGAAGGATCGTGGGCCTTTAGTGCACTGGATTCTCCAGGACTCCAGTGGTTGTGCAGAAGGGCAGCAGTGCACTCAGGGATCAGGAGATGCTGCTGGAGAGACCAGCTGTTTGCAGGTTGAAGCCAAGTTGGAGCTGGCTGCACTGCAGTGGAATCTGGGTGAACTTGGCAAACAACATTTTGAGGTTTTAATTCCACTTACTAAATTTCTGATACAGCCTTACAGATGAAATGACCTTAACTTATGGAACATAAATTGCCAGTTGCTGCCCATGCATTTCCAAATTGCCTGTGAAAGTTGATGAACAACTTGCTACTCATCAGTGAATTTCACAATATAAATATCTGAAGTTTTCTGTCATAATATTATAATTTCTGTCAGAATGTTAATAGTTTTCTGTCATAATATTAAGAGTAAGAACATTACAGAGTATTAGTTCATTATTAGTACCTGCACTTCCACTATATTTAGCACAGTGCCTTTACTCCAGTGAAATGTTAGCTGACCATTCAGAAATAACCTCAATTTCTCAATCCCAACTCACTAAAAAATAAATGTCTGAAAAATTATATTAAAGCGAGTCTTGCAAACCAAACTTCTGTTTGAATGTAAAACTAAAAAGACAGATGGAAAGCGACCTTAGAAGTCAAAATTCCAAAAATGAAACTCAAAGTTAAAATCTTAACATGAAGTTATTTAAATATGAAATTAAATATGTGATCAGAGAGGAACAAAGAAGGCTTATCTCCCTGTCCATCTGGCAAATGAATGACTGGGAAGATCATATCCTTAGAAGTGTTCTTGCAAAACAGCTCACGGGGGACCTGACCATAATCATGTGGATTGTGAAATGTTTGTTGCTCTTGTATCAGTGGTGTGTTGTGGTATTATTATAATGTAGACTTTGGGGTTTTGTATTGTATGAGAAAGTGCTAGTCATAGTACTTTTAGTACTCGTGCTATAGTACGAGTCATAGTTACTTTGTTTTTCTGTTAGTGAAAACTAATTTTCTCCATTTTCAGTTATTGACTGATAGAAAACGATGACTCTGTCCTTGTATGGATATGGTGCTAAAAGTTTCAAGTGATTAGCAGCATAACTGGGAAGAGAAAAAAAGAGATGGAGAGTGAAAAAGAAACTGAAAGATGCCAGAAATTGAGTAGAAACAAGACAGGATGAAACTAATTATTTTAAAATCATGCAGTAAACTGAAGAAGGAATAAATGCGTTCCATTTGCATTATTTGCATCATATGCTTTTCTTAGAACAATTTTCAAGCTGAATACTGAGTATGGCAATATTAATTATGTGATGTTTCATTCTCTTCAGATGAACTGAGGTCTTACCTAGATATTTCCTGAGAACCACTAAGTCCTTAAGTCCTGGAATACCTTATGAACTTTCAAGTGTTACTTCAAACCAGGGCTTACTTTACAAAAAAAGTTAGCAAAATCAGACTAGAGGGCTCTTAACAAAATGTAAACAAGGTATATCTTTCTGGCCTCTTCCGTATTGTTGGGAAAGCCTTCAAAATAAATCCTGTAAAATGCAGGGGTTTTCCAAGGCCCTGGGCAAAGATTGAGCCCATGATTCATTGGGCATTGCTATAAAGTAAGAGATCAGGGCCTTCCCCTCTCAGAGGTGACTTGCATTTCTCCATGGACACTGATCTCTGTCTTCATCCACTGCTGTCTTGGAGCCCCTGAGGCCACCATGTCCCTTATGCCACATCCTGCCTTCTTTCCTGCAATAGTGGAGAAGTCTGGGACAGTCCTTGTAGTATATTTGTCACTAAATTTGCCAACATCAGAAGGATTAACAGCCAAGTTCCCTCTACTCTTGCCTCTTTTGGGAGGACATGAGGAAAGTTTCAGGACTGTTGTCAAAGAAATTTCTACTCTTGATAGCAGAGGAAAAAAAGCCACATGTCATATGGCAGCCAGAGAATTAACTACGAAAAAAGTTGTATATTTTTTTTTCTGTTGAGGAGTGTCTGCAATGTTTTAATACAGTAAAAATGGTTAATTCTTTTCCCAGTCTTACACATACAGTTTATCCTTTTATTTTTATCCTCCTGCCCACCACGTGTCCTTTCCTTTTTCAAAACAGACCATGAAAATATATTTTTCTGATGAGAGGCAGAAGGCATGGCCATATAACTGTATGTTTTTATATATCTACAGATGCAGCAGCTTGAGAAGCAAGTTATAGATGCTGATCGTCAAGCAGAGAGAGCGTTTCAGCAGGTATAAATGGAATAAATATCTCCACTAGCTGTGTGCATGTGGTACTTTGATGAGGTGAAATTCAAAACATTGCTTGATTTTTAAGTACGTCTAAAAATGGAGAAGAAGACAGTTTCTTTTAAAGTCTATTGATTTGTCTTAACAGAGAGTTCTAACACCTTTCTTTGCTCACTATTCAGTTCATTTCAATAAAGTCAAAGCTAACATCACAAATCAAAAGTAGATACGTGGAATGAGCTTCTTCATTGGTGCATCATGAATCTTTGATATATGATGCATGTGGAACCAAAAGGGAGAGGAAACAATGATCTCTTTTAGAAGATCTGTAAGAAAATAAAATCAGGCTACGCAATACAGCTTCTAAATAGAACTGTTCTGTGTTGTTTGTTCCTCTTGCAGAAGTTACATCATTTAAATAATGAGATCGTGGCTAAATATTTAACTGAAGTTGCCTTTTGATTCCAAATGGCAGACTTAAGTTACTGTAGACATTTTATGAACATACCTCTAGTGTCCCTGAAACATTCCTCATATCTTACTGTGAGACAGATAGAAACTGAAAATTATAAGACTAAAATGTTCATGTACTAATTTGGAGTTAGAAAACATTCCTGACTACAAGCCAAGCATTTTTAAGCAATTATTTAGAATGCTACCGATAATTTGCTGGGTTTTTTTACAGTGTGCAACTGTTTATTTATTAAAACATTGTTTACAGCTCCCTGTAGATAAATTGCATTCTTCCCAAACTGGTGTTTCTAAAAGCTTGTGTGTTACAAAATGAGAAGCCTCTCACAGATACTGAGAAAACCTGTGTAAGATCTTCCAGTGTTTTGCCAGTCCTGTTGCTAATTGAATAGGGAAATATAATGAACTGTGGGGTTTCTTCTCAAATAGGCTTCAAAACTTTGCAGGGTTGTCTTGAATCTTAAGTGTGGAGGCAATTTTAAGTGTATTTTGTGACTAAATTATTACCTTTGACTTGGAGTGTTATGTTCCTTAAACTTTTATATTTGACTTTCCAAATAGGTGCAGATCATGGAAGAGAAATTAAAAGCAGCAAATGTTCAAACAAGTGAATCAGAAACCAGGTTGTATAAGAGATGTCAAGATCTGGAGATCCTGATACAAGATAAAAATGATATAATACAAAAATTGGAACAACAACTTGAAGAACAGGTTAGGAATAATGAGAAAGAGAAACATCAGTTCCCTTTTTAATTGCACAAAAGGAAAATAAAAATTTAGATCAATGGAGAACAGAAAAGTTTAGCATTATTTCTGTTGTTTGATTAAGGAGATTCCCATTGGAAGTATATAATTTGAATAATGTTTATTCTTTTTCAAATTAAGCTCTGTCTTCCATTGAAAGAACATGTGACCTTTAAGAGGGGAAAGATGATATTCCTCTTCACTGTTCCCCCTGGAGAGCTTTCATTCTTACTAGAGGAAAGAGGAATAGCAGCCATTGTGAAGACCCTGTTCCTAATTTTTTTTAAATTACCATGTATTACCCCGGAGCCTGAATTACTTCAAGCAATCTTAGGATTTGTGTCTGAAGATACTACTCAGGCAGATTATATTACTCAGTGAAAAATATGCTTATGTCAATTTTTTACAGAAGCAAATAAGACTGCAAGAAGCAAAAATCATAGAAGAAAAAGCAGCTAAAATAAAAGAATGGGTGACAGTCAAGCTTCATGAGGTATAACTCTTGCTACAATACTTACACAGGAAATATAATGATGTGACTGGATATCCCCTAGACCTTTTGGCTGTTAAAGGCCTGATTGCCATAGGAAAAATTGCTTCCCAGTTTCATTGATTTTATAGTTATTTGCTGGAAAGAGAAGAATTGAAAACAAGGGCACAGAGAGCAGAGTGTCCATGTCACCTAAATTCTGATGTCTGACTTGGTCAGCCAGGATGATCTGGATCCTCTTTCTGAAGGAAGGACCAGCACTGCTCTCTGAAAGGTCAACTTCTGCACTAGTTGAGAGAGTTTAGCTGGCAAACTAAGCTTATTCAAGCAGATGCCTGAAGTGTGAATAATCCTCAGAAAGCCGACCAAGCCTGCTGGGGCCTGGCAGAAAAAAGGCCTTGATCATTTTTTATTTCACAATGCCCACACTACTCTTAGTCACAAATAGTTTCAGGGACACCAGCCCTAGTTTCAAGAGACCAGTTGTCTCCCTTTTTTCTCTGCTGTGGTAAGATAACCATGTCTCTGCCCTGCCTAAAGCTGCCAGCTTTGGGGTGCAGCTGTGCTTTCTCCTCCCTGGGCGTAGAATTTAAAGTTGCCTGTAAAAGTTAAAATCTTTCTCTCTTGTAGTTAACTGGAAGTATACTCGAGTTGAAAAACAATTAAGTTATTGTTTTTGAAGTAAGAAACTAGAAGGTTCTTACATAAAATATTTACTTTTCATCTGTGAGGGCTAAAGTAAATTATTTAGAAATAATTTAATAAAAATGCTATTAAATTTAGCTAAAATTACCATGAAAAAGTTTGGATAAAATGAAGTATGACTCAAAGTATTTACTTACTCTTTATGGAAAATCTCAAGCTAATTTCACAGATGTGACTAAGTGTCACTCAGTGGGAAGTGGAATTGCTGGCTCCCTTCTGTATGACAAGGGATACTCAGATTCAAATCTGTTTGCCTAATCTGGAGCAGGAGTTTGAACCAGCATCTTTTACCTCCCAGTGGTAGGCTACAGCAGTGGCTTGTTGGGTTTTTTTTATTTCCTGTACAAAGACTTTTGTTTGGTATAAAGTTTATTGGCACATTTTTTTTAATTCTTATTTTACTATAGGATAGTAAGGAGCCATTAGGACCAGCATTCCCTCTGTTTCCTCTGCTCATTCTTGGTTTTGCCAAGGGGCACAGGAGTTGGTAATTCTAGCCTTCTGCTTTTATTGAAAATGCCAATGCAGTTTTCTTTTTCTCTTATTTATTAAGGATTTTTAAAGCAGTCATGGGTTTGCTTGGTTGGGGGAATAATTTTGGCAGAATTGAGCAAATAATCATTGCAGGGAATTTAGTTGTTCAGAATAAAGAGATGCCTAGACTGGTATTTAGAGTAGCAGAGGAGATTATTATTTGAACTAGCTCTATCCTTAGAAATTCAGAGAAAAGAAAAAAGATGTAATGACTTTAAGATTTGTTTCACCAATGGATGAGATTACATTTATATGCTTTTAGTTAGAGGTGGAAAATCAGAACCTTCGCTTGATCAACCAAAAGCAAACCAAAGAGATGAAAACAGTACAATCTAAACTGCAAGGTAAATGTACAAATCTTCTGAAAACTTCTCTCTATATGGCATATTTCTTTCTATTCCCTATTAATGTGTGCATCGACATGACTGAAAATATTCTGTGAAATCACAAAGATTTCAGAGAGTATGAACTGACCTCAGAATGACTGTAAATGAAGGTGTTAGGAAGGAATCATTTGGTTTTATGCTGAAAAGACACACAGACAAGGCACAACTGTTACTTAAGAGGTTCTGCAAGTAGTAAGATTTTACTGGATTTAGGACAGATCTTTGCTTTCACATCTTTACAGCATAGCTGGTCATAAAACTGTTAAAGAACACAATAATGTCAGTCTGCATTTCCTTTTTCTAGTAAATGGTCAGCTGACAATCAGAACTCCAATCAGATATTTTTACTTACTACCTTTGACTACAGTGATCCAAAATCTTAATTCAGACCCAGTATCACCAGATTCTTCTCCTAATGGGTATAGTAAATTTAAAACTCATGAAGTGTAAATGGAAAAGAGAGGAACAACCCCTCCAAGAAGCATTATTTCACATTGATCAAAGTTGAATTTTATCTACCACAATGGTTGCCTGTTCACCAACTTAAGTGTGTCTGAAGGTTCCCATCATCCTCTTCACACTGGGTTGATTTGAAAATTTATTATCATATGAAAATTTTGTTACTTTGCTACCTAGCCCTCATTTCTTGATAATGTATCTTACATATACAGGTAAATACACAGATATTTAGAAATCATGTGTAGAGGAGTGTGTGTGTGTACACACATAATATATGAAAATACAAAAATTTACAAATTCATATACAATATAAAGTTTTTAAACTAGAATTCACTTTTCTATCAATAAAGAAACTGGATAGTTTTGTTTCTTTGCTATCTTTTGATAAATAGCAGTTCCATTCACTTCTAGTCATTCTCTTCTGAGAGATCTATTTAAAGGCTTTTTGAGACCCTGTAGTTTCCAACAGACAGTTACTGACATGCCCAAAAATACTAAGAAATTTATTACCATTTGCAGTGTCCATGCTGGTGACAGGCAATAAATTATGAACACGTGGTACTGTTTTAAGCAGTTTTACAGGTCAGGTAAGGGCCTTTTGTTCCTGGATCCACCACAGGGATTTTTATGAACAGAGATGGACAGATTTAATGTTCAAGGCAGTTCATCAATTTCTGCTTTCACTTTCTCTTGAAGTCTTCCTCCATACCGACCTTCTAAACCGGGTAACCTTCTTACTCTTCTGTATTTCCTGTGAAATTGTTAAAAGATTTTTTTCTTTCTATTATTATATCAATTTTTAAGAACTAGAAACATTGCTCTGGGTTTCTCCTGATATGGAGAGATACCAGGTAGCTCTTTTTTTCCTATAATACATTTTTATTATCTTTTTTTCTCTAAATTTTAGTTACCTTAAAAGAAACTTTGTACTATAGAGTAAAGAAAAGAGTTGCATAGCTTCTTGTATCTCACTAATGCAAGATTTCTGAATTACTATTCTTCAGAAGCTACTGGTAAGAAATCTGTTACTTCAGCACAAAAACCTGGAGAATGTCAGCGACTAAGCAGTTTGACTTTTGGATGCTTTTCAAATAGAGCAAGAAGTCCTCAACCATCTCCAAAGCCTGAAGAAATAAGCAAGGCTTCATCTAAAGAGTCAGACTACCCTGAAGGCAAAAACACGCCAGGTACCTTGTCATCAACACTGCCATTTTTATTCTGACACAAGTGGGAAGCTAAAATCAACAACTCTGTCAGTGCATCCAAACCAGCTGTTTTCAAATTGCATACCAGCACTGTCTCCCTCTTCACTGCTACTGTTCTATTACTAGGAAGAAATCATCCTGTTGAGCACTAGAGTCTCTGTAATACCACTAATACATTATCTGGCAGCATGCAGAGGCTCCTGGGTGCTTTGGCTGTGAAGTAAAGACGTGGTTGTGACCTTTACTGTTGCTCTGGTCCTTTGCTCAAATCCCTTGTACTGTTTGTGATTTCAGTATTTTCTCCACAGTTAATCATGCTATCCAGAATGGCAGGCTGAGGTCTTTTGAAAATCAGAAACTGAGAGATCCTATGAATATTTTGTGTATTTATAGTACAGCAAGTTCATTATGAAGGTGGCTATGTATTATTACTTCTGTTTTTACAGAGGAGGGTATTGAAGTAAGAGTGATCATTTCAAGAGAAAGGATAAGACACAGAACTTTAGGCTTGCCTAGATGGAAACAGATAATTTTGGGGACTTCATTACTTTAATGTGGGTGAAATTAAAATCTTTGTGTTATTCAGGCCACTTTAGCTTCACACAGGTATTTAACACAGACTTTTCCAAGTGTCTGTGTAAAAAAACCCTAGTTCTTGCATCCAATTTAATTTGGGAACATGCAGGCCTCACTAACATGTTGCAGTCTATACCTCTTTCTTGTAAAACCAGGTAAAAGCAAAGAGCAGGAACACAGCTATTTTTAACACAGCGTCTTTCCTGAAGTACTTTCCATGAGACTCTCTTATTTATTTTAAGCATTTACCATTGGGAATACAATAATAGCTTCCAGAATAAATTTATGTGTATAAACACTGTAGAAATGCTCAGAATACTTGATTTGTTAATGCAAATCCTTTCTGACAAGCTTTACTAAACTTTAACTTTCCTTAGATTTAATAAAGGAGCTAAATTTTTATGCCCTCTTAAGTAGTTGGCTTTTTGTTAGTTTTGTTTGCTTGTTTGTTTTTACACATACATGACTTTAAAATATGGCTCCAGTCTGCTTATCTTTATGTTTATTGACATTTTTAGTTCAGCTACAACTTTGAGTAATGTTTATTACAGTTTTTTAGCAAACTTAATTTGCATTCAGTCACATTAAAAAATTTATGATCTTTTTCTTAATGTTTATTATTTACAATATTAAAAAACATAAATCTTCTCATGCATTTGAAATTCTTACCTACTTACTACTTGCAGGCATGATGACAAAACCATTTATTAGTCAGGTTTGCTAAAGTAATTTTCTCATGTTCATTATATTTCTCCTCCAGAGAAGGATATCCTGGAAACTACCTTTGCTGGTCCTGTACACGAGACAAATAAAGGTCAGAAGTCATTGCAACAAAGTTCCTCTGGTTCAGAGCAGAAGAAAAATATGAGAACAAGCTGCTCATCCAAAGACATAGACAGTGACATGTCAAAGAACTCATGTACTACTGGGAGCGACTGGAGCTCAGATGAGGATGGGGGAGACAATAAAGGACTGAAATCCAGGTGTGCATCAACTCTTTCAAGCCACACATCTGAAGAGAACGCAGGGTACAGTAGAGTGGGAAGCGAAATGTATTTGACAGCATCTGATGACAGTAGTTCTCTCTTTGAAGAAGAGAGTTTTGATGTTAAGAGGACTCAGCAAAAGAAGCTATACTCATGGCAGCAAGGGTCCCTAAGAAAAGGCCTGAGCAATCCAGGTGGAAAGTGCAACTCTGACTTCACAAGGAAAAAGAAAGACCAAGATAGTTCTTCGGATGAACTGAATAAGAAATTTCAATCACAGAGGCTTGATTATTCATCCTCATCCAGTGAGGCAAATACTCCAAGTCCAATTTTAACTCCTTCTCTGACACCCAAACACCCAATTCTAGCAACTTCTGCAGGTTCTCCATGCACAACTCCATCAAATTTTCCCTCAAATTTGCCACATCCAAAGATACGGACTCCTAATGTCTTTAGTCTAAATTCAGTGTTAGCAAAGAAACACCTAAGCCAGCCCCAGCTGAGTTCTGACAGAATGTTTGGTAAAAATAGAAATGCCATAAGCATGATCCGTCCGTGGAGACCTCAGGAAACAGACATAGATCTGGTGGATGGAGAAGATACTGATATTTTAGAGAAAATGGAGATTAGCTGTGATGAAGGAGTGTTTACCTATGACACCACTGAAGCACAAAATGCTGAAGCCCAAGAACTTTGTGATACGACAAAAAAGGGTGCTAGCAACAAACCTCCAACGCCTCCATTACATCGATTTCCTTCCTGGGTAAGTGTGCTTATAGGTATTTTTCCTGCTGGCAAAACTAACTTTCTCTTCTGTGATTTTTGTTGCCTCTATTTTAATTACTTTCTGTTTATTGACAAGACAGGGCATTACCTTAATCAAAATGACAAACTCAGAACCTAGTTTTATTTTCAGCACAGTATTCCTGCCACTGAAAAAAATGGTCTGTATTTTATAGACAAACACAGGGTTTTTTATGTGACCTGTAAGTTATGTATGTCTTCTTGAGTGTATCCAAGGTTGTAATGCTTATGACTGCATTTATTAATTATCAACACAGGGTTTTTTATGTGACCTGTAAGTTATGTATGTCTTCTTGAGTGTATCCAAGGATGTAATGCTTATGACTGCATTTATTTATTTATGTGAACACTACTACAGCCCAAGAATGGTGGTGTCAATGTCCTTTCTGTAACCACTGTACCACTCACAATCTAGACAATTAAGCTGACAGCAGACAACTACAAATTACAGAAGTAATTGGTATTTCCAAGTGAAACTTTAAAGCCACCAGTCAGGATATTAAAACAGATATTATTATGTCTTACACAAAATCCAAAATTAACTGTGTCAAGGCTCACTAATTCTGTGGTTTCAGTGTCAGAGATTTATTAATTAATAACTTACTAAATATATTAATTAAGTATTATTCAGGAATAATACATTATGTAACAACTTCTCTATATTTATTGAACTTTTTGCATTATACATTTTGTTATTGTAGTCTTTTAACACAAAATGGTCAAAAAGTTGTCTTCTAATGGCATTTCTCTCTCCTAACAAACAATCTTCCATTAAAAAACATTCTTCCTATAGCTTCTTTGGCACCTGGTAATAGTATTTTTAAGAATAAGTTACTTACCTTGTATAAAAAATGTCAAAAAAGGCTACAGCTATTGGTGTACAGCATAGAAAAGAAGGATACATTTTTCAGCTGCTATTGACAATGTCATTTTATGAACCATTTTATCACATAGTTGCACTAACACAAAGACTAGAAGCCTAAACAGAACAAAAGTAATTGTTGTGTTTTAATTATCTACTATCAAATCCATTCTGCTTGTCTAGGAAAGTAGAATTTATGCTGTAGCCAAATCTGGTTTAAGGATGTCTGAAGCTTTCACCATGGAATCTCTTAATAAAAGTAAGTGGTTTGGCTGTTCATTGTCCCATCGACAAAAGTTCTGTTCTTATGGTGATTTGTGAGCAAGAATCTTTAAAATATTTTTAGAAAGGTTTAGTTAACAGCTGTTTAAAGCCTAGAAGATCACTGATTATCTTTCTATTGTCTGTGGTACCTTACATCTTGACTTTGTGCTGAATTTGTACTTTGTTAACTCCAGTTTACTTTGCATTTCACTACTTTGAAGAATCTATACCAGGTACCAATTTTAAAAGGGCTAGTGTTCGTGACTGCAATTTTATTTATGTCTTTAAAAGCTTTGTAAATTTCAAAAAGCTATAAATCTTACATCCAAAATAGTTCAGGAGTTAGTTTGCTTTTTATAGCAGTTATACAATGTCAAAAAAGATTAAATTTTAATTTTGTTAATTGGGGGAGTGAATTAGGAAGGCAATTTATAAAATATGTTGCTTTTTTAGATGCTGTTTCACTGACTTCATGCTCCATATCTGGATTATATACTTCTCTGATATATAAGAACATGACCACTCCTGTCTACACCACTTTGAAAGGGGTAACTGTATTACTGTTTAAAGAAAATTTTTAAATACCGTTAGGCTTCACATCCAGGAACTTGCTATTTCACATTTGATACTACCATGCCAAATATGTTCCAAGTTGATGTATAGAGATCAAAGACCCCCAGAAGTTATAGAAATGTCAAATAGCTGGGTTAAAAAAATACTGCCTATAAAATGTTACTGGCCTAAGTCAATTCTTCTTAGGTTCCTTGCTGATTTTTTCCAAAGGCTTGTTAATTATTAAGCAGAACCACATGGTGTTCAATGTCATAATTAAAAGTGTGTGTATGTGTAGAAATGTCTTTGTGTCAGTGCCAAAGCTGTTTCTAGTCACACAGCCAGCAGTCAGTAATCACAGCATTGTTTGTCTTCTGGCAGCCTTTTGTGATTTGGAAAGACCCATGCCTTGAGCTACCTCAGGTTTCTGTTTTAAAGTATGGGTGTGGTTGAGCATACAGAGGGCAGAGGGAATTCAGTTTCGTGTTAATATTTTTGTGCCAAAACTCACAACCCAGTCAAGAACAGCTTTGAGTATTATGAAGCCAGCAGAGCCCTGCCACGGTACGAAGGAAATGACTGATACCCTTTATGCAAGTTATCAAAGGATGTTGTGTTCCCTTCTGCAGAAAGCAACTCAAATAAGCAACAGCCCATTTCTGGATGAGTCATCAGGATCTGAGGAAGAAGACAGCTCTCGGTCCAGCTCAAGGACTTCCGAGTCTGATTCTCGAAGCAGGAGTGGTCCAGGGAGCCCTCGGGCTATGAAACGAGGTAGGCGAAACAAGTAACTCCTGGGAACTTTGGAAAACCAGACAGTTTACATGATTTTCTTAGGAACTGATATCTTCACTAAATAGGATGGACATCTAAAATCTAGGCTCTCAAAGCCCAGATTGATTACTCAAGTCAGGAGAAAGAACTGTTATAGATGGATTTATTGCTTTTAAAGGCATTAATCTTTTAGCTGGCTGTTGTCATGAGGGAAAAGTCACTTGTACATTTAAAGCAAGAAGCACCATTCTATCTATACTCTGTCATGCCAAGGACTTCCTGTGACCTTTAACTGTAGAAATATAAAAATTACATAGAAAAAAAATCACCACCAGAAACACAAATACATTCAAGTTTATAAAACAATTTCATGTGATCAGAAAGCAGGTGGAAAAGTTCCCTCAATAAATTATTTGATTCTGTCACCTCATGCAAGAAAAGACTTCTTTCATTTTTACAGTGATTGTCTTAAGGTCTTGTGCAAAGATTTAATTAAAATACTTGAATCTGGTAATGTCCTGTGTCTTGTGGAAGACAAATCTCACAGTTCTAGGTGATTGTGTTGTCCATCTCCAAAATGGAAATAATATGCTTCATAATATTGAAAGATACAATCCTTCCTCATTAGGTGACATTATCAGTGTTACTGCTCTGTGAGTATTTCTTCACTGTGTAAACTGAAGGAGTCCAAGATCCCAGTGAGGCCAAGTGCTAAGATTTCTCATTATATATTGTTTTATTCTTTTAAATAGCATTATTTGGTAGTCTCAATTGCTGTGAGTATTTCTTCACTGTGTAAACTGAAGGAGTCCAAGATCCCAATGAGGCCAAGTGCTAATTAATAGCATTATTTGGTAGTCTCAGTTATACATATAAAAATTCCAGTTACCAGGAGCTTTGTTTAGTGACCCCGGAGCAGAGTGACAGTGACGGTTCCTCTCGGCGTTTTCCAGTGGCAGCCACAGGTGCAATCCAGTCCTGTTTCCAGTGATGTAGTTTTGCCACATTAGTGTGAAAAGGACCTATAGATCCTGCTTCCCAGCAGCTTCATCCTGCTGAGCAGAAACCAGTGCCATGGCTGCAGACATACCTCATGTTAAGTGCTTAGACAATTGGGTTATTTAAAAGTTGATTTCACCCAGCCTTTTATATCTGTGTCTGTAAAATGGAACCATTCCTTTTGTTTGTATTTTCTTTCCATAAAATAGTCCTTGCATTGTTTAATGTGTGGAAACCTTTCTTAATCACAAAACACATATGTACATGTCTTTGCTGAGATCCCATTCTTCAAAAATCCAGGCAGTCACACTTTTCACCAAAAGCATGCTGCAATTTGTTACAAAAGATCCACGATGAGAAGAACCCACTCCGAAAGTCTTGGTGGCTTACCAAAGCCTTTTTTAAGAATAAAATTAGCAAATGAGTTGGGAAATTATTGAAACAAAGGAAAAAAACTAACCTTGAAGAGTGAAACACTAGTCCTTACAAAAGAAGACGTTTACATACATGAAGAAATTTCTGTAATGAATGAGGGAGGAGTTTGAATTTTTATTACTGATCCTCTAGAATTGAAAGCAGGGTGCATTTTTTTCAGGATTAAAGCTAATAAACTCTAAAATCCCCCTGAAATATGGAAATCAAGCTTTTAGAAAACCTTGGTATACAAATCCATATTGATTGCAAAACACAGTCACGTACAGCTTCAACACAAAGCAGATGTTGAGTATGACTTCTTAGTACGCAAGCAGTTGCCTGAGAAATCGGGATGCTATAGTGAGTGAGAGAAAGGAAGGTTGCTTAGTTTAATTAAAGATCCTGGTTTTGTTTTTCTAGACAATGATTCCTGGTACTAACTCCCTCCTTAAAGAAGCTGTGGTAATGTAACAGAAGGTGATAATATACACAAGACATTTTTTTGTTTTTCCATTTGCAAGGGACTTTAGTTATGAATAAAATGAGAATTAGCACTGTGCTAATATTTCAGTGTGCTGATACTCTAAAAAATCCTTGGTTCCTGATGGATCTATGTTGATACTTATGTTTGCCTGCAGATTCTATTCAGATGTTTTTTCTGCCATTCTGATCTCAGTTGTTTCTAATGTAATAAAAAAAAATATATAAAGAACTCTCTTTCTTCTTTTATCACAGGTGCATCTCTGTCTTCTGTGACCTCAGAAAGTGACTATGCTATTCCTCCAGATGCATATTCAGTAGATACAGACTATTCAGAGCCAGAGCAGAAACTTCCTAAGACCTCATCCTCATCTAGTGATAATGGAAAAAATGTGAGTACTGAAGTTCTGTGAAGAAGTGCACCTGAAGTACTGTGTGTATTTATGTTCAAATACAGCTACCAAACCTTTTCATTCAGTCTTGCTGACTCACAGACTGCCTTATGAATACAAACAGTAAAATATACCAACAATGTTAGCCAAGTAAGACTGTAACTAGTAAAGAAAGTGGAAGATAATTCTAAGCTTTCCTAGATAATGAAGGAAAAATAGCTCGACAATTCCAGAATACCATTCAAATTACTTAAAATTTCCTTTCTTGGAAAGCAGGTCTGCTATCAGATGCATATGAAATACTCAAAACAGTTTAAAATTATGATTTGAATAGTTAGGTAAATAGAAGGGCATTCCAAGAAGGAGCTGAAGTCATCAGTGGAAATCTATGTGCAGTAATAAGTTTCTATCCTTTCCTCATAGAGGGAAAACATTAGAGAAATCCTAGAGAGAGTTTCATGTGAAGACAGACCAAAGAAACCAAACCATTATGAGGTATTGGTCAGCCTCCAGGAGCTTTTAATGGTTTGTGTTAGTTGTTAGTGTCTTAGCATACAAGTGGATTGACTACCTGCTGATGAAAATTATTTTAGGCTTTCTTCACAGAGCAAAACTGTGAACTCTATTCTGCAGATGCAGACACTAGAGCTTTGTGAGGAGCTCGGAATTACAGTGCTTTAGATCTGGTTTTCGGGTTAGGACCTGGAGCTGGGAAAAAAGAATGCATTTATCTTGTATTCATCTTGCTCCTTCTTTAATATAAACAACTAGAAAGTAAAATCAGAACACATCATATTCTTCATTCTTTTCTGTAGTTTGGGGCACTTACTCTCCTTCATGTACTATAACAGTAAGTAGGGCTATTTATTAGTTATCCCATGTGCATGACATTTGTCTTAATTGATGCATGTAAAAACATTGTCCTTGGATTAGAAGTTTCATCAAATACTGTTATTATTTAGCATGCTTTTAAGTCATTAATATATCTCTATGTGTGTATTTTTACCTATTTCTGAGGGACAGACAGAGGTATATATGTGTATCTAACCACTTTTTATCTTATTTCTAAACAACCAGGAACCTTTGGAAAAATCTGGATATCTGTTAAAAATGGGTGGTAAAGTAAAGACCTGGAAACGACGGTGGTTTGTGCTTAAAGGAGGTGAATTGCTGTATTACAAATCTCCAGTAAGTACATGTAACTTACCTGTTGTTTTGTATTAGATTGTTTACTGATAATCTAAGGCTGCTAGAAAGGAAAAAAAAATGCACTTCTGGTTTCTGTGCTGTTAGAGAGTGATTCAGTAGTCACTTCCTCAAGAGGTGTACAAGGTACACAGTGTCTAACTAGAAAGTATTTATCAAGATTAATGTTTAAATTAGTCCTATATTAATTTATTGCTGTTTGTTGGTAGATTAAAATACTCTTTTTCCCATTCTTTCCATACCAGAGTGATGTTATTCGAAAGCCTCAAGGTCAAATTGAGCTTAATGCATCCAGCCACATTGAAAGGGGTGATGGAAAACAAACAATTCAGGTGCCTGCTTTTCTCCTCTGCTGGTGTTTCAGCATTCCCTCTATCCCCAAAGCCAGCCCCTTGTTCCAGTCCCTGTTGCACTGGAAGTCCAAGTGTGGACTTGTAATTAAATAATCAGAGCCTTTCATTTGAAACCAAAAAATTGTTTCAGTAACAGAAAATATAAACAGGCCTACCTGGAGTCTTGTTTGTATTGCCACAAAGGTTAGATCATCACATATGGGATAGAAATAAAGAGAGCAGTCATGGGGTCAACCATTTGGATAGAGAGAATTAATTTGTCTGAAAAGAGGAGTTTTCTCAACTTGCTATTCCAGATAAAGATTTAGAAAGAGTGTCTCTGCTCTGTCTGGTCATGGAATGTTTCATTACTAAAAAGTACTTTGGGGAAGATAAACTCCCCAAAGTGTAAAGCTACACTGGGTGGTGTGTGTTACAGATCCCACACGATGAGGTCAAATACGTCAATTGTTGAAGCTCAAGACTGTTTGTTACTTCACAGCTGACCACAGAGAAACGGATATACTACCTGACTGCAGATTCCCCCAACATCTTGGAGGAATGGATCAAAGTACTGCAGAATGTTCTTAAAATACAGGCTGCCAGCCCACTCTTTGTACAGTCTGAAATCAAGCCAACCATGAAAGGATTACTTACGAAGGTAGGAAAACACTTCTTCCCCCAGTCTGCTTTATTGTTTAGGCCAACACTGGCCTTACTGTGCTTTAAATGAGCATCTCATCTAATGCTCTGATTCGTATGCCCTTAATAGAGTTACACAGTTTAAATTTTATCTCCAGTAATGTGGATAGGAATTTGAACCAAGAAATGCATCTCCAATATCATCAAAGTTCAGAGATGGTGGAAATATTTTCTCTGTCTGTGATTATAATTGATGTTCTGTAATTACAGGTGAAACATGGATATTCCAAAAGGGTTTGGTGTACCCTAGTTGGAAAAATCTTGTATTATTTCCGTAATCAAGAAGACAAGGTAGGTTCCTTTCTTGTTTCTTCAGAGAATGTAGACTTTAAACAGAAACCTACAGCTTTATTAAGGTACAGTTGGCCTTGGTATTATACACAGATTGTCAGCTTGGAAGATTTTGTCTAACAGCCAGCAATGCAGACTACATCCATTGGTCTCTTTCTACAGGATGTGATACATATTATGCATGTTATCCCTAGCTGAAGGGGGACACTGGTTTGCCTGGAGTTCAGGTGTCCCTTTCTGACAGGCATCAGAAAAGACCCAGCTGTGATGTGGTTCTGGAAGCAGACCCTTTCTTATGCCTCTTGCTGTGGGCAGTGACTGCAAGTTTCAAGAATTTAAATGTTCTTTCTGTCCCTCAGTTGACTTCCAAATCCTGTTCTTTGGTATGTCACTGTACATCCACAGTGCTGCAAGACCTAGGACACTTCCTAGACATGACTTTCACCTGCACCTTTGCTCCCAAGGCATTGTATTTTCTCACCAAGAAACATGGAGGCAAGTCAGAAACAGGATTTTGAACAGTCCACTGAGCCATTATAAAAAAATCAGTAGAAATTTTCATATTTGTGTACTTCTGTTTTAAGAAGACAATCACACTGGAGTCAGTAATTCCTAACTTTTGTGTAGAGCCAGTTATTCCCTTTGTCATCCTTTCCTTTTATTCCCATTTTAAACCTCAATGACACCCCATTGCTAGAACTGTATGAGTAAGATAGCAGTAACCATCCATCAAAACATTTTATTTTAATTGCTCTTTAAAACAATGTAAAACAGGGTTTGGGCATCAACTGGCTAAAGTGTAAGCTCAGAGACATTAAAATTAACATAAAATTTCTCCTAGGGAAAAATCTCTATGTTTAACATATCTGAATTTATATATTTTTACCACTGAGTATTTTGGCATTTTAGCATGCTCTTTAGTTAAGAATTTTGCTGGATTCTGAATATTTCCCTCACATCTGGAAGAAGTTTAGCTGCCCTTTTAAAGTAAAATTGAAACAAGTTTGCTAACTTGGAACAGAATGAGAATTCAGCTTTTGTAAGCAGAATATGTATGAAAAGTTTTCCAAAACTACTTTATTTCTAATGTTCAACAATATGCTAATTAAAATCATGTTTTCTGTAGCTGACTGTGCCTGTGCAGAAATAAATTACACAATCTGCAGTGGTTAATACAATAATGGAGTCCATTTAATTGACCTCCTTTCAAAATGGAATTCAAACTAAAAAGCCAGCCAATTGTGTTTTAGTTAAACTTGGTGAATAAATCAGTCTTGACTACTTACATGTGAAACGACATCTTTTGATTCTCAGAATCTTATCTTACTCAAAAAGTTGAATGCTTCAGAAGCACTACAGAAAATACAAATCACCACATCATTCTTTAATCCTTACCAGTGGCGCTGTGGGAAGGGAGGGAGTTTTGTGCAGAGCCAGCTCTCTCAATCCTGTCACCCAGTTGTGAAGAGATTTCATGCTGTATTTATGTTTGTTGAGGCTTCCTGTTGATAAGGGCTATGAAATAATTACTTCTGTGAAAATTTCCTCTTGAATGGCTTTTTTAGATAAAATATTTTCTGCTAAATGACGCTAACTACATAAACATCTCAACACTGAAGCTCTGTGATCTCTCACACTGGAGAAAGAAACCAACTAGAAGGTCTATCACACAAAAAAATTACCTTTTGAATTTAGAGTATGAACAAACCAATACATCAACAATACATTCCTGTCCTCTAAAATAACAGCATCATAATTAAAGTTCTAGGCTTGACACAGGAAATTTTTGCTTGGAACCAGGTTTGGGAACTCTGAAGAATGACTTCTTTCACCCTAACATACATTTATTGCATTAGCTATATATAGAGGCAGATCTGGAAAAGTATTTTTGAAAACCTCATTTTTAGACTTTGGCACATAACAGTCTCATTTTGCTGTCTGCAACATCTGCTTATCTGATATTCCTTGGCAGGACTGAAAATGAGTAAATACCAATGGGTATGGATGGTAGTTCATGTTTTAATTTCTATTTGCAGAATAAGAAAAAATTGTGTATAATAATAAATATAATAATATATAATTCAAAATCAGTATGCACTGAAACAAACATTACCCCTCTCACCATTTCTGATATTTACTTTTAGTTTCCTCTTGGTCAAATCAAGCTTTTTGAGGCAAAGGTTGAAGAAGTTGATAGGTCCTGTGATTCTGATGAAGATTATGAAGCCAGTGGTCGCAGTTTGTTATCAACCCATTACACTGTTGTTATCCACCCCAAAGACCAAGGACCCACTTATCTTCTTATAGGATCCAAACACGAGAAGGTAATAAATGGATATTTTTATTGAGCTTCGGTCGCACTTCTGTGAGAGTGATGCTGTGATATGAATATTTCTTGAGAAGGAGAAGGACTACAAGTCACCTGGCTTGTATTTTGATATCCTAAGGAGAAGGTTCTGCTTTATTATCAATTAGTCTGCAAATCAATGCTAGTGTAGGTAATCCTTGTTAAAACAGACAAAAATATGCAGGCTTGCCTACATAAGTAGACAGTGCAGAATATCTTATATGCTGTAATGAGAATTTTGCTCACATACAGTAACTTGTAGACAGAATTGTAGCTGAGAGGTTACAGGGTACTTACTAATACCCATTTTCACTGACAAAACTAAGATAGCACAGACTTGCCCTACTGTAGTAAAGCAGCAATGAGAGGTGGGGATAAAACCATTTTTATTATTGTTGCTTCATTGTTCCCAAGAAATCTTGTAGACCTTGTTTTGCTTTCTGGACTTATCCCCAGGTTATCAGGATCTGGCAGTGATAAAAATGATTTATGTAAGCTTCTGGAAGAGGAAAGGAAGAAAGCCCTGACAATTAGACATGATTTCTGAGGATAAAAACTTTTGGAGAGCCCTGTCCCATCTTCCTTACTTAATATTTGTAACATAGAGATCATGAACGTGTGTTTATTCAACCAAAGGCAAACTTCTTTGGGCTTCAAAAGGAGTGCATGATAGGGTTTCAAGTTGAGAGCAGAATCCTGATGTAGCAGTTCCTTCCAGCACAGAATGAGTGAGCTGCTATGTTTTTCTCCCTTAGGACACATGGCTTTATCATCTGACAGTTGCAGCTGGAAGTACCAGTGTAAATGTTGGATCTGAGTTTGAACAACTTCTTTGCAAATTATTAAATGTGGAAGGTGATGCCAGTAAGTTTATTTTCATTTCAACATATTGATCTTCCAATGCTTATTTAGTAAATGTACTTATGAATGGAATTAATTGCAAAATGTATATATTTTATCTGTTTAGCTTCTCAAATTTGGAGACATCCTACCCTTTGCCATAGCAAAGAAGGAATTACTTCCCCTCTTACAACATTGCCATCAGAAGCCTTGCAAACTGAAGCAATTAAATTATTTAAGGTAAGGCCATAGCAGATGCCTTTTTTAATAACTGACTATTTTAACTCTTTGCTAAAGAATGGCTGTTAGTTGGCTTACTAGAGCTATTCAACAGCTAAGAAAAAAGAGATGTTTATCTTTAGTGGAGGTAACTAATGGACAGCAGCAAAATTATTACCTCACCAAAGACTATCACACCCAGTGTAAAGATGACAAGCAGTTTAGGCTTCAGCTTTTGGTGTTCCTACTTATTTGATAAGTTATTGATAAAGTAAAAGTTAGTAGAGAAATCCATGACCACCATGAGTGATAATAATTTTACCTTGAAGTTCATAGCTCCAAAGAATCCAACAGCATGGACAGATCTCTGCATTCAGAAAACAGTATCTGAAATACTATTTTTTCAGTTAGGTTCAGGGAAAAAATCATAGGCAAAAGTTTTGTTGGAGACACATTTAAATAACTGGGAGATCTTTTAAAAATCAGAAGAAAAAGAAAGTAAATTTTAAGTTTAGGCAAGTCATGGATTATTTAAAACTGAGATAGAAAGCAGGGATTGTTTGCTCTTTTTAATAAAAAGAAAATATTTTCATATGAAGTAGCTATTCTTTAAAGAGCAATTATTCATTAATATAAATAGAGAAAATATTCCATAGAAAAAGTATTTCACAAGAGTTGAATTAATTTTTAAAGATTCTCACAGATCTTTAAAAATACACATACATATATATGTCCCAGTGTAGTAAAAATGCTTTATGATTAGGAGACACATACTGGTTCATAACCACTGAGCCACAGCTAGGTTCTTGAGAAATTGTGTGTGCCTTACAGCTTTCCCAGTTGCAGGCCAGGTGGGTAGTTGATGCCTATGAGAGGGAGTATGCTGCAATGCCATTATCTCCTTACAGGCTGTAAAGGCTAATTCAGAGACAAAATACAATTTTGCTGTTCCTTTGTCTGTACGTTGTGAAATAAATTACAAGTTGGAAGGCACGGAGGTTGGATAAATGAACTTTCTCTACAAAACTTAGATGAGTCTAAAGAACAAATTCCCTGAAGCATGCACTATCTGGAGAATTTTGATGTAATGGTTCAGATCTAGAGAGGAATTCAAGACAAGCACTGTATGTTTCGTCATGGACACTTTTAGGCAAACTTTCCAGGTTATTACTCTGGGATGTTTGAAGCACTTCAAAGAAGTACATCCATCTTATTTTTTGCACTCCTGCAGCACAAAACTTTACAAGGAAATGTACTTCTTTGATAAAAAAAAAATTTACATCTACTTGAAAATCACTTTTCAGACCTAATTCAAATCACAGACACTTTTCTAAAGTAAATAAATTAGAGATTACTTATAAGACCTTTATTGAAACCCTGTATAAATCAGCTTAGAAGTCAGGTAGGGAATTTAGAAACAGATCATGCCATGTTTCAGTTATCCCATTTATGATAAAAATAGACTAGAAATAGATTGGGCTTCAATCAACTTCTTGTATTTTTGCTTATATCACTTTAAAATGTAACTATTCTATACAGTACATGCAACAGGTGATATATATACTTTCTTCTAAAATGCTTAACATGTGGCTTTCTAGAGACAGTACTGGGTATAGGCAAGGTCATACTTAACCTACAGTAAAAATACCATGGAAAGCCAAGATGTAAATCATTGGCTCTGAGTTATGGATTTTTTATGTGTATATGCTGCTGTGTTGTGCTATTTACAGAAGCATTTTACATTGTCTGGCACTCAGAGCTGTAGACATTGCATTTCCAAGTAGAGGGGTGAGCTGTGTTCAGCATGTCCTTAAACTTGCCTGCCACCAAAATTCTTCCTACTCCTGTTACAGTTCACTCCATTGGATACAGAGTGAAACCATGGGTTGTAGGAGGTGTTTCATCTCAAGTCTCTGTATTTCATCCATTCTGGCCCCTTTTCACCCCATTTTGCAGAACCAGCAGAGTTTTCCAAGTCTACTGGTAAACTTACAAATTGTGATTTCAATTAAAGTACACTTTTGATATACAGAACATTTTACATCTTAAAGATTTGGCAAATCTCCCTTGCATGTAAACTCACTTGCTTATTATTTTATATCTAGACCTGCCAGTTGTTTATAAATGCTGCAGTTGACTCTCCTGCCATTGATTACCATGTATCTTTGGCCCAAAGTGCTTTGCAGATCTGCCTCACACATCCTGAACTTCAAAATGAGATCTGTTGCCAGCTTATTAAACAGACCAGGCGTCGACATCCACAAAACCAAGCAGGACCAATACAGGTAACCCAGTATTTATTTTAATGGTAGTGATTTCAGCAGCAATGAAGGAACTACACAGAGTGTTTATGATGGTAAAGACACTCTGTTCTTCTGCAGCATCTGCTGAGTTAAGATCCAATTCACTGCTGCTGTGTTTTCCTGAAACAAAGCTGATGCTATCCTCCAACAAAGTATGTGTATCTGGTGGTAGATTATATCTCTGCCCATGCTGTTTGTAAAGGGTAGACATAAAATGAGCTGTCTTCAAGTCAAGTGTTAAGAAAGAATGTACGAAACCTAATTCTTTTTTACTGCTCTTTCCTAAGAGAGGTGCTGCCTCAGGAAGCTTGATGTGTTAAACCATACAGCAAATGACTCAATAGCATGAGTGTGAAGTAAAGCTGTGGTGCCATGTAGTGGAATATCAGGTTTCTGATGGATGTCCTCTCTTGTGTGCCATGCTGTTCTGCATTCACCCTGCATGCTACATTATTAATACATACTTGAAATTCCTCCCTTTGTTCACTGCCAGCTATTCACTGCTATCCAGATACAAAATGAATTGCACTTGGAGCTTGCATAGAATTAACAGAACGTGACACTTATGATGGAGCAATACCTACAGAACTAGAAGACTAATCAGAAAATGGGAAAGAAAGTCACCATATCAGGGCTTCTGTAATAGACACGTTTTTCTCTTACTATAGAAAATAGACACATGACCAGCAGCCATACCTATTAGCTAGAAACAGCCTGTACCTGGGAGATGGCTGCTGTGTGGAGAGGCACTGGCACGGGCTGCCCAGAGAAGCCATGGGTGCCCCATCCCTGGAAGTGTTCATGGCCAGGTTGAACTGAGCTTGGAGCAACCTGGTCTAGTGGAAGGTTTCCCTGCCCAAGGCAGGGGGCTGGAACTAGATGATCTTTAAGGTTCCTTCCATTTTATGATTAAATGTGTGCATTGCTAAAACATTCACAAAGGTTTTATAACAGACATGGTACATTCATGTCACTTAGCACACACTGAAGCTACATATCGCTGATGGAATTTAAACTTACTATAATTCTTCTTTGGTACTCTTCTTACCAGTGGCAAAGCCTTCCCTCTGATGAAGATAAGTAAGTTGTTATCCTGATCCCCTGGAACAATGATTTTTAAGAGCTAATACATGCAGTAAAATGTTTTCAGCCTTACACTAAGTTTTTTAAGTCCTAAATTCCTGCTGTTGTCTCCTACCCTTGATTCTCCTGCAGTGTATACCATCAACAGAGCCAGTGCTATCTCCATCAAAGTATAAATATTTGATGAAAGGGAGTATCTGTGCCAGTGCTGTCAAATTTCTATTTAATACCAGGCAAGGCAGATAAATCAAGATAGAGAAACATCATTTTTTAAATCTTAGTGTGAAGCATTGATGTACTGATTGTGAGAAAAACGGTTGCAACATTAGTAAGTTTATATCAGGGTACATGAGAGCACTCTGTATTAAGTGAAACCAATGAATACATACTGAGCAACAACAATATACCAAAATATTGAATTACTGGTTTTTTCAAAGTTACTGCAAATTTGGTAGAAGAAAAAATGTCTTATGTGTTGCTTCATAATATGTGTAACAGGAGAGCTGAATTAAAATTGCACAGGCTTCTCCTCATATCATAATGCTTGGCCATGCAGCCTAAGTATTTCTTTTCCTATGTATTAACTGCTTTTTATACAAACTCAGCTGCTTTCCCATTTCCAGCCCCAAAAGAAACTTGGTGTACACATGTAAATAGACAGAGAGTATTTGGCCTTTCAGTGAGGTTATATGCTTATTTACTCAGCTTTTTCTCTGTTTTTTTCATTCCTATTTCAGCAGTCTCAACTTGGCACAGTAAGCTGCACTGCTGGCCAGCAGCCACAGCAGGAAGTTTTATGTTGTAGGATGTTTAAAACAGTGAATGTATTCCTTTTGTTCAGGGCTTGCAGCTCTTGGCCCTCTGTGTTGGACTCTTCCTGCCCCAGCATCCATTCCTTTGGCTTCTTAAACTTCACTTAAAGAAGAATGCAGATTCCAGGTGTGCCTGAGTATTATTACCCAGCTAGTCAACTGGTCTTTCTGAAGTACCTTGTTTTCAATCTTTCCTGTAATGTATCAGATCTTTTGACATATATTTTAAAATTAATTTGAGTAGAATTGCTTCTAAAATATAGTACATATTACTTCTGTGCATCACTTGGGAAAGTTGTAAATTTAAAAAAAAATTTTGCAGTGCATACTCTGACTGTATGTTGCAAAACTGTGAAAACCAAAATATGGCAGTTACACAACACACCCTGAACCATGTTCATCTTTGGCACAATTCTGCTGGTCTCAGTAGACTAATTCTCTTTCTAATTCCACGTGCAAAAAAATGTGTTGGAAATCTCAGAGAGTGAAATCTGCATGCTCCTCCCATCTGACCTCTCCAGAAATATTCACTCACAATTTACTATCCTTTCAATCAGTCCCCAGGAATTGCCTTATTTCTCTTTTTGCCACAGGACTGAATTTGGGAAATACGCTATATATTGCCAGCGCTGTGTAGAACGGACCCAGCAGAATGGAGACCGAGAAGCCAGACCTTCCAGAATGGAAATCCTTTCCACTCTCCTGAGAAATCCCTACCACCATTCCCTGCCCTTCAGTATTCCAGTTCATTTCATGAACGGCATATATCAGGTAATGTCATGCAGGCCACGAAATCTGAGCTCTCCCAACCCCCTGCTGTCAGCAAATACATGAAGCAGTACATCAAAAAGAGTAAGGTAAACATGGCTCAAGTTTCATCCTGTGCCAGTGCCAGCAATGGCAGGCACAAAGTACTTGTGATCTGATTTGATCAACTAAGAGTAAAGGTTTGGGGGAAAATCTTGAAGAAAAAAGTAAAACCTTGTAAGAGTGAGAACCGCCAAAGCTCTGTTTCTTATTTAACCTGACCACCAGATGAATGAATTAGACTGAAGGAAAAGGAAAGGTATTAAATTCCACTTCCTTTCATCAGACATCTTGTAAGTTAAATATCTCAGTGAAGGCCTGGAAGCACAGCTGTAACTCCCATTATCAGTCCTGAAGGATAACCATATTTGTTACAGAACAAACATGGCTCCATTCTTAACTCTCTGGGGACGTCATTAGTCAAAGCCCCTAGGAAACATTCCATGGGCTTCCAAGCATGCTGCTTCACATCCTGGTTTATGTTTCCAGCTGTGAGAGATGGCTGAGATGACTTTCAGCAATTCATAGTCTTCCTAGATAGAAAGCAACTTTTTATATGAAATCAAAGCTATATCACTTTTTTTTTTTCAGATTGTCACAGAAGTACTTTGCATTTTTTCATCTCTAAGTTTCTTGATTGCTTACTGCTTGCCCAGTAAAACATAAAAAAACCCCAATATCCTTTAAATCATCCTAAAGGGTTTCAAAATTGAAGTTTGGAGAAGAAAAGGAGTAACTGCTCATTAGTTATTTACTGCGCAAAACTGTATCATTACAAGAGCTAAGAAAATTGTAATTAAATACGTAACTTCCTTCAGTGGGATCAGCAAATAACAATTATAGTGGTATTAAAAACTCTTGTATTAACCTCTGAAGATTAATCAGATTTTTATTTTAATGCCATGCACTGAGAAGTTCAAACAATAGTTCACTATCCATTTTCAAGACATTTTTTTACCAAAACATTTTCAACATGTCAAATACAGGAAAACACTGTCAATACAGATTGAAGTGAACATCAGCCACTGCTATCTGTAAAGAACCTATTTGCCATCTCTTGCTAAAATGCTTCAGTACCAGTCACAGCAAATAGAAGTTCATATTTGGGGAAGTAAAATTTAGAAGGTTCTGTATATTACTGACCTATGTAATAGTGACAAAGCAACATTCATAAACTGTTTTAGATCTGCCAGTGTAGATCTGTCACCTGATATCCCTCTAAAGTTGCACATGATTAAAAATTATTAATTGATCTCATTTGCTTCTCCACTATATTGAAAGGTACAGGAAATTATAATCTTAATCTATCAAGTAGTATTTTTCACAAAAAGCTCAGACACTAGACGGCTATCTGTCAGATAAGTTCTGTAACAGAATTCCAAGTGTAACAAGTGCAAGGAAACCAATTCCACTAAACTGACTTCCCATGTGGAAATATTTTTCAGGCCTTTTATGGCAATTTTTGATTTCCAATTACAGTAATGGATGAAATGGGTCTTATAGTTCCACCATTATTCTAGAAGTATTATATTTCAAAATCTCAGATTTAAAGGGGGAACAGGTATGTGTTTGATAGCAAAATACTATTTGGATTCTTTTTTAGGTTGTTGGGTTTGATGCCTCTACTACAGTAGAGGAATTTCTGAACACTCTGAACCAAGACACAGGGATGAGGAAACCAGCTCAGTCAGGATTTGCACTGTTTTCTGATGATCCCTCTGGCAAGGATATAGAGCACTGTCTTCAAGGAAACATCAAGGTAAACAAAAGGCTTTAATGGACTGTACATATAAAAACATAAAGTATTCAATGAACTATAATTAAAAGCTTTCTCCAAGAGATCTGTATTATTCAGAGAAGTAACAGCTGTGTTAAAAAACAAAAAATAAGCTGTTACAGTTCTTTAAAACTAAGAAGCATTAGAGTCAAACATGGATTTAGAGACTTCAGTCAACATTTTTGATATAGCTCCAAAAGATGACCATGTGAGGTCCAAGAAGTCATTGATACTGGGATGGAGATCTCGGGAAATTTAAAAAAAAATGGTTCTTTCTCTAATACAGAATAGACTTAAGGCTGAGTTTAAGAAATTTCCAATTTTTTCCTTGCCATTGTCCTGAATTATAAATTTTAGCTCCCTCTATTGCTAGAATTAAATTCTTAGCAGTAAAGTGTGACAAAACATAATATAATCTGTGCTTTAGTAAAATATTAGTTACTTTCCAAGTCTTTTAGCAACTAATGAATCATTAAATTTTTGTGTTTCTACCATGTAGCTTTTTGCACCCTTTGGCCAATGCTCAGCTGCACTTTTGAGTTACAAGGTGTGGTACAACCTGGCCTTGGTGATAAACAAGCAGTGCCACCACGATCAGAAAAATTACCACATGGAAAGCAAAATTTATAAAAGATGTACTGATTTTCTCGGTAACTGTAACTTTAGAAACTACTCACATTACTGCTTCCAGGAAAGCTCTTTTATGAAGGAATGAAGCCCAGTTGGGGTCCTAGGATCTCTGTTCTACCTCCTCCCCATCTGCCCACCTACTCACCTATACAGATTCTTGTGAACCCTTTTTGGTGCATTTTTAAACAAACTTCATGCCAACTTTATAGCAGTTACTAGAAAGGACCTGAAAAACTTGGGCATGTAGTAGAAGGCAGAGATGAAAGGCATTTGATTAATTACATAACAACTCACTCTGTGTTATTACACATTCATTGGCAGCTGCTAAATCAAGTACCTGGCCTTTCCATGTTATGGCTTGTTTCCAAAGGTAGTGTGTGTATTGCAGGATAAACAAAAACAAAAAATGTTAATTATTAAACAATTTGACTAAGAAATACAAGTAAGGTTATACTTCAGTGAGTTTAAAAATTCAGGCTGTGTATGTATCTAATAACTGATAGGTAGAGGACATTAAAATAAGTTGACAGTTTCTTTTCAAGGTGTTTTCAAATAGGAAAACATGCCAGTTTTGTATTGCTTTCCTTCTAGATCTGTGACATTATTTCAAAATGGGAGCAAGCCTCCAAAGAACAACAGCCCGGGAAATGTGAAGGCACAAGGACTGTCCGCCTTACTTACAAAAACAGGTTTGTTTAGCAACAATAATATCTCTGCCTTGTCCCGAGATTTGTTTTTCAGTTTCTGCAAGTTTCTTTATCTGAGAAACACTGGCTGACTTGAAACTTGCAACAAAAATAGTAAATGGGTGTAACTGGACAATATTTTTTTAATAGTTACCTTTTTTTACTTCTTAAAGAGGTGAAGAGGGCTGCAAAAAATCCCCACTGAAGTCAGAAGACTGACATGAAATATTTACCCACTGGTTCAAGTACAAGTGTTGCTCTGCTAATGTGTTTGGATGCTGAAATAAACATGTCACATTCAGAGCAGATACTGCTAATCCTCAGGGCTAATGCATTTCCGTGTCTTCTTTATTTAATAACTTTCTGTCTTTTCTGTAGGCTTTATTTTTCAGTTCAAGTTCATGGGGAGACAGACAGAGAGAAGCTGCTGCTAGTGTATCAGACAAATGATCAAATAGTCAATGGACTTTTCCCTGTAAACAAAGAATTAGCAATGGAATTGACAGCCCTTTTAGCTCAGGTAATCTTTATGCATGGATAACTCACACAGCAGTTTTTCAGGAGAAAATCTTAAACAAACTGATCCAGGATGGCTTGACACTCAATTGACCTTCACCTTTTACATATGGGTGTGCAGGAAACAGATTGGGCTGGGATCTTTGTGTAAGGCAATTCTTAACTGGAGTGGAAATGCTTTACAGCATTCGCTGCTGCTGGCACCAGTAAGGTTAAAATGTGCTTTCCCTCTTACACAGCAAGGCCCTCTGGCATTTAATAACATGTAATCATGTACCATTTCTTCATTCACTATTCCTTCCATGATTTCTGCAAGTTAATTCTCCAAAGTAACAGCTCTTCAATCAAAGTCTTAAGTCTTTTACTAGGCATGGTCTTGATAGGATGTTTTATTTTTTAAAAATTAAAAGCTCAAATGAAGGGTTTTGAGAAAGTAAGTTGATGTTGTTATTCAATAAATGTAAACTGATTTGTGTCAGCTGGAGATACAGCAATATAAGAGCAGAAGTAATATTATGTCTGTAAAATTTGTGTTTGATATTTAACTTTTTTCCATGGTAGACAGAAAATAAGAAAGAGAAAATCACTAGTGTGACTTTTTTATCAATGAAAAGTATACATTATTTGACAAATTTGCTTTCTTTTATACTTGGTAAAACAGATCAGAAGATAGTTCATAATATCCAGCTAGAAAATTACTTTAAAGTAACAAAAAACTTTTTTAATGGACTTTCCCTTAGGTAGAGATTGGAGATTTTGAAAGGCCTTTCTCAACTCCAGCAGGACAAGTCAATTCCCAGTCCAAGTCCAACCAAACACTAAAGCAAGTTTTGGAGAGATTCTACCCTAAGAGATACAAGCAAGGTTGTTCAGATGAACAGTTAAGGTGAGATGGGCTTGTTGATTCATATTCTCTAAAGATCTAGGAGCGAAAAAAGGAAGTTTTAAATTGTCATTGGGAATAACATATTGTTGAGCTGTATTTGCCTAAACTTGTGTTTGAAACTCATTCTCTTGCTAATCTAAACAACCCATTTCCTTTGCACATTTCTACTCTAAACAAAGGACCATCATTAATAACACATTCCAGCAAAAGACGTAGCAGTTACTACACAGTGTTACAAAACCCAGTGATTTTGAAATTCTTATTTTTCTTACACAGCAAATCTAAACGAGGTCTGAGTGTGCAGGGACTAAAGAGTTATTGAAGTAAAGGACATGAGGACATGATCTGTTTGTTATTCTAGTGTGCAATCTCTGGCAGCTACTCCAATTGGCAATGTGTAACTTAGTGGACTTAACTGGTAAGGTATCACTTTATTTAAAATTAATAATCTGCAAGGCACTTAAATCAACACCTACTGACATGAAAATGAGCGGAACAGTGTAATAAATTATAGTGATACAGCAGTTTTGAAGGCCAGTAAACATCATAGAAATGTTCTTCAGTACAGAAAATTTTCAGGTTGAGAAAATGTAAAGCTATTATTATATGCACATAGTAACATTATTACATAGAAGACAATGGGGCATTCAGACTTACACAATTAACTTCAAAGAACAAATTATAAAAGCTCTCAGATTAGATTTAACTCAGGGAGGAAAAGTAAAACAGCTGTTGAACTGTTTAAGTAGTCCTACACTACCAGCTGGCAGAGCTGGAGATCTGTGGCATAGGGAGAATGACTCTGTGCCTGCCCTATTGCCTTTGGTTTTTTTGCTAAGGGTGCAGTTTTACCTCATAAACAGCCAGACCAAAGCTGCAAGTGATGGATCTCCCTTTAGTACCCATTAGCCCTCCCTTTTCTTGGGATACATCTAATAACCTTATGGCTGCTGGGTAAGTCATCCCTGCAGATCTAGTGTCCTAGAAAAGTATTCTGGTCTGGGGGTTTTCTGAGAAAATTAGTTTTTCCATAGTATTGAACCAACTTGCGAAGGAGTCACACATTCACAAAAGGAGCCAGAAAAAAAGCCCCAGTGTGAGCACACTGTGCATCAGGAGTGGCGTTCTGGGCAGCAGTGCCCAGACACACTAAAAGGGAGTAGTGCTAAGCCACGTCTTTCATGCCTTCTACCAGCCACAGGTAAGATATGTGCTAAGCTGGATGGATTTTTGGAATGACAGCTGACATAGCTGTTGAGTACTGATAAAGGTACATTGATTCTCTGTAGAGACACGTTAAAAGCTGTCCCAGACTTTCTGCTTTATGCTGCAACTGCTACATCAATATTTAATCATAATGTTCCAGAAACTAGAAGATACTTCATCATTTTCATGTGTATTAAAACACTAAATGACATTTTGGATTTATTTAATGCTGTATCAGTGATAGTCCTTGTATTAACTGAAATTACCATTTTAAGAAATGGATTCTTTTGTTGCTCATTAAACTCGCTGTGGGCAAGCATTGGAATTCCCTTCAGTAAGTAAATTCCATCCTTCATTTCAACAGACAGCTTTGCCAGCGACTGTCGACAAGATGGATGGCTCTCCGTGGGCACAGTGCCGCAGACTGCGTGCGCATTTACCTCACCGTGGCCAGGAAATGGCCTTTCTTTGGGGCTAAATTGTTTGCAGCAAAAGTGAGACATTTTAATGAGTTTGATTGGGGAGGGGGAGGACGGGCTTAAATATAAGAAATATTTGCAAATAATAGTACATTTTTGTTAAAAATAACTGTGTATACATGAGCTGATTGAATCTCCTGTCAAATTACTTCTTAAGTCATAGACTGGTGAAACATAATAGCCATAGTACTAAGTGTATCATAATAGTAACTTTCCAGTACTCTTGCTGCTTATTTTACATTATTAATCTGTGTTTCCATTTCCTTCTATCTTAGTTTGAGATAGCCTTTTAGGTTTAGACTCTTTGCTTGATAACTAATAGAACATTGAAAAGGTATCATTAGCTGGCTGTGGAAGCTCAACCTTGCAGAACTAAATGTGGTTAAGGTTATTTAGAGCACTCCCTTCTATGCTGGCCCCTTCTCAGTTTCTCTTAACGACTGGTATCTTAATTCTCTTGATTCAAATAACAGCTCTGTTAAACAGAACTGTCACCTCATGCCTTCAGTTTTAATAGGCAAACCCAGCATGTGTGTGTGTGTATAAACATATATATGTATATATATAATTGCTTGTCAGCACTCTCTTCTTTGTGTATTTAGAGATATGAGCTAGTGGACAAACTGTAAAGACACCTAACTATTTTATTAATGAGACTATATGTTTTATTGGACTAAGCACCAGGGTAGGTTTCAAGTATATTAGTTTGAGTTCATTGTTCTGCCACTGGCCACATACATGGCTTTGGGCAGGTATTTAAATTCCTTTCCTGAAATTTACACTGAGAGGGAACTGAAGAGGGAACTGTGGATGGAGAGAGGTCTATAATAGCTGAGAATAATAATTATTCACATATTGCCTCATTTTGAAGTAGTAACTAAAGAACATTTCTCTTTGTAGCCTCTAGCAACAGCCTCAGTTGAGAAGTCCTTCATATGGTTTGCTGTCCATGAAGACGGCATAAGCATCCTGGACTACAGCTCCATGGTAAGTGAAATTTCTGTTTCAAATTTGGTCAAGATAGATTTTAGTACTAATTATTTGGAGAGATTCACCACCATACTATCTAAAAGATGGCATTAGCTTTCCATGCTAAGTTATCTAGTCCTTCTCTTAAAGCAAAAATTCATTCCTTTTAAAATGCTCTAATGTTATCGTCACTACAGTAACATTAATAATAGAAGTAAGTAATGCATTCTTTGCACAGAATTTATTTTTGTTTATCAGATACAGTTTTTATATCATTTAATGAAATGTTAATGTTTTAATCATTCAGATGTCAGGAAATCCTTAGTTATTGTAATGTTATTACAATAACATTAATTTTCTTTTCCTGGAGACTTAATTTTCCAGTATTATTCATAATACATACACTCTGCAAAGAGCAGTTACTTTAATAGATTGTTATTTTCATTGTATTATTTTTGTTTAATAGTAGGTAACATAACCCAGTGTTATTTAATTATGTCATTTTAGGCTCAGATTTTTCTTTGATTTGCAATACAAGTTTTCATAGAAAACGACTCGTAATCAGTGTAAAAAGCAATGCCTGAGAAGATCCCTGCTTTCATTTATATCCTGCAAAGAAAAAGAATGGCATGCTGCTATTAGCAAGTGCTAATATTGAATATCAGAAAATTAAAATCTCAGCTTTATAATTGTGCTGATATGGGCCTTTTCATTACATTTCTTTGCAGTTAAAGGAATAATAAAACAAAGAGCATGAGGAGAGGAAACAGCAGCTCTCAGGGAACAAGCAAAATGTGCTTGCACCAGACTGCAGAGAGCTCAACAAGCACTGCTTCTGGAGCTATGGCATTTCTGTAGGGCATTGTTAAGTACTGGCAGGCCTTACCTGACATTCAAGGAATGCTCAGCTTCAGGCAACACTGGGATTTTCTGTAGGAAGGATCAGGGACATCAGAAATGATGTTGCAAGGGATAGGGATAGTAGTATTTCAAAACTGGGGCAAAAAGAGTTTTGCTAAAGAAGGAAACTAAGTCAGTTATTGTACAAATGTTGTCTGACAATGAATTTTAAATGCAAACATCTGCAGCAAATTAATATGAGATATAACAATAAATTAAATGCTGATCTTAACTCGAAGGCCACTATTGTGGTGTTAAACGCTGAACAATAAGAATCAAGGGATAAAAAGCTGAGGAGCCTTGAAGAGCATTTTTGTTTCATCAGAGATGTAAAAAAAAAGAGAATGGAACTTAATTTGTGTTTGCAAAACATACCACTGCACAAAAAGAATACCTGGAGTTAAATTCCTTCAGATGTCTCATACTCTGGCATTTAATTTCTTTAGATACTACTTCAATTTCAAATGGAATTCGGAAGATTAACTTCTTTCACAGTCAATCATGATTTGGGTAAATGGAATTACACACTTGAATTGAAATCTTCTTATATTTTTTATCTAATTAATTTGCAATAGAAACAGAGGTCAAACTTAGGAGCTTTATCATCTACAGTGAAAATTCCTTATCATGAAGGTCTAAATGAAGCTATCCCAAAATTCATAGTTAATTTCAAGATCCGTAAGAGGCTAGCTCCATTGAAAAATATAGGTGTAATGATATTTTTAAAAGAAGAATTTGTCATCATATGTTTTTCCTGCATTGTCCTGCTTAATAGCTTTGTGTTTTGTTCTGGGGGTTTCCTTTTTTTCAGCGACTGACTGTTACATACACATACAAGAGCCTGATGACTTTTGGAGGCTATCAAGATGATTTTATGCTGGTTGTTAACAATGCTCAGACAAAGGAGAAATCAACTGAAAAACACCTATTTGCCATGACAAAGCCAAAGGTTAGTCTATTACCTGAAACAGTTTCCATCTGCTTTTGTGCTCTCTCTAGTGAGTAATCCCTACCAGATGTGAAAGATTAAACCCCTTTTTAAATCCCAGCCTGCTCAGATTACTGGTTTTTGCCACATGATTTTGAAGAGCAAATAATTAGTACTGTTAAGGCTAACTGTGACAGTACTGATGTGTTCCTGTTCTTTTCATGTCCCTGTTTGTAACATTCCAGATTTTTCATAGAATGACAAAGAAGGCTTATAAGGACAGAAATTACATGCAGTACCTAAAACCTACTCTGTTTGCCTAATCAGCACCAGAGATGATTTTTCAAAAAGTATGTTTGAGATCTACAGTGAAACTGTAAAACACAACATCTGAAAAATCAGCCATTTCTTAAAAATCCTAGGATATTTTTCCTATTGTTAAAAGGAAAAAAAAAGAAATAAAAAAGAAGAAATCCTACTTTTAAAATCTATATTCACTCCTTCACTGGTAAGACTGACTATATTGAAAGAAAAAAAAAACAAAAAACAAAAAACAAAAAACAAAAAAAAAAAAAAAAAAAACAAAAAAAAAAAAACCAAACAAAAAACCCCCACAATCTAAAGGTTTTGCTGTTAGTTTGAACAAATTTATGGAATAATACAAAATTCCACATATAAATTTGGTTCAAAACATGATTCTTCATACAAATGAGCATAGTAAAACACACATGTTGAAGTTTCCTTCAGATTGTGCCCTTATAGAATCACAGAACAGTTTGGGTTGGAAAGGACCTTAAAGTCACCTGGCTCTGACCCCCCTGCCCTGGGCAGGGACACCTTCCACTAGACCAGGTTTCTCAGAGCCCCATCCAAGCTGGCCTTGAACACTTCCATGGATGTTGCATCCACAGCTTCTCTGGGCAAGCTGTTTAGTATCTCAGCAAGTTTCATACGGGTCACAAAGAGAAAATATGATTAAAACCTCCCCAAAGTCTTTATTCTCTTCATCTACCCTGCATCTTGAGTTCTCTGAGCTCTCTGGCAAAACTACTCAGCGTGTCATCTTTTGGACTTCAACATCTCTCTCAAAATTAAAGAAGTCATCTCTGAATCATTTAAGACTGTGGAAGACAAAGTATCTTTGATACGTCCTGATGGGAATAACATTACATTATTTAAAGGAGCAATAAAAAAAAGTTTTATTAGTTATCTCCTTTCCCCCCATCATTAATTTGTTAAAGTACAAGTACTTATCCACTTGATGGTGATTGTCACTTGCTAAAAAGTTAGCTATTTTTTCAGCAGTCAAAACACATCACTGTATTTTTCAAAGAGTTTTGTATGTTCCTGTTATAGATTCTTGAGATCACTCTACTGATTGCCAGCTACATTAACAACTTTCATCAGGTGAAAGGAGCTGCTCATCACCTCTCTGCTCCAGCATTACTGGCACCTCAGAGTGGACAGAAACTCAAGGAAATGGGGAGCCAGCCACTTCTTGCAATCAACAGACCAACTAAATGTCCCACTTTGTTATGAAAGGATTATGTATCATAATAACTCATCCTTGTTAGAGGGTTTCTACGTGGACTGAAAACCTTCTGATGTACAAGATGTAGAGCATAAGCAGCTCCATAAACAAAAGGAAGGTGGACAGGTTTACATTCATTCAGTTGCATATAAAAGGAGTACCCCTTAAATTAAAGCTCTGGCCTGAGTTGGAAAGATGTTGAGTCAGTTTAAGGGTTATGATTGAGTGGGGGTTGCTTGTGCCTACAGCTCAGAAAAATACATCTGTTTATAATGATGCAGAAAGGTGTCATTGGAAAAAACTGTATAGATTTTACAGTTTTACAGATATAATCTCAGGGACCAAAGTGTCTTCAACTCTTCATCTCTTATTTTTCAAAATTAGACCAGCTTTATAACTTTCATTTTGAAAAGGGATTTTTGTTTAGAAAAGCAGTCAAACACAAAATACTTTTCACTTCCAGCACCATCCTTATTTGCAACAGAAGCATCATGGGACTAAAAGGAACAAATTGTGTATAACTGTTTCTACTTTGGAAAAAAAACCAAAACACAAACACATAAGCACATAATGTAACTATTACAAATTTAAACAGCATTGTCATGATACACTCTAGCCCTTGTTATACAGCTGTTTTACTTGGCAAATCTTCAGCCGTGGTCTGGTGAATTTCTAAATAAACCTCTGTTCCAGCCTTTTGAAAAAAATCTAAATTGGATAGGCACTGTATTTATTACAGTTTTGTTAAACAACACCCTTACCTCATTTCTCCTTTAATCCAGAATAATAATATAATATAGATAGCAAGAACAACTCACAATTCAAAACACAAGAACAACACAGAAAACCATTGACTGAAATGTTGTGAATAAACTTGGAGACCTAAAATTCATGTACAATATGTATAATGTATATACATTGAGTCTGAATAATATTTACTTCTTGTTTTTAATTTGTATCTATAAATTTCCTGTTATAATACTAATATAATGTTCTTGCACACTGAAGACATGATGCTGCATCTGCACTATTGGACCTAGGAGCACTTTCCAGTTGCCTTTTTCAGGTGCAAGCCTCAGTGCTACACAGGTCAAATGTATAGAAATTACATTCATTGTTTTTCATCCAGTCCTCTCTTTTTTGTTCCAATGCGAATAAACCATTTTGCAGGCTCCAAAATGAATCAGCACCATACTCTCACAGATAATTTAGGTACAACCATGAAAAAGGTACTCAACATAAATCACTGGTTCATGGACATTTTACAGTTTCCACTTCGGCTCATGTTAATAATCACAGATCATTAATCCCTTACAGCCAGTCCTCATTAGTTTTTGTTTGATTATTACTTAAACTGAAGTAATTTCACAATTAAAAATCTCTGGTGTATGTTCTTTAAACATTTCAAATGCTCATACTGAGAGAAAAGGTATTTTCAGCTTTTTGCCCTCTATTAAAAGCAGGGAGTATCCTCTTAAAGAATTAAAATAGACTGGAAGGGAGATACAGGCCATGAAGAGAACATGGTCTTAAAAAGGAGAAAGGCAGACAGGCAGAGGCAGGCTGGCTTTCTTTAGAAAGCTCTCAAAGTCCTGCCAGGGCTACTGAAGTCCATAGGATTCAAGCACCACTTGATGAATGGTACCACAGGCCAACCCAACAACTCAACAACTACAGCCAAACAACTCACATACTATATCCAGATGCTTTCACTTTTGCAAGGTGGAAAGGGCTTCCTGGTAAATTCCACCCTTTGGTGGTGTCTGGGGCAACAGACCCTTCTCTTTCCATGAGGCAGGGCCAGCAGGAGGTTTTACCTCCTCCTTGGCAGCCACTCCCCTGCCATCATCCAGGGAAGCATCTTGGGAGCTACAAGAGACCAACTGCATTACTTCTTGTGTTGCACCCCATGGGAAGTGGTACAGATCCCATGGTGAAATTCATTTAGGAATTAACACCCCTTTGCAATCAGCAAAACAATTAACTTTCAGATTTGAGGAGGTAAGGGTGCTTACAAATACTACATGTTACTGCATCAGTTAGGTCACAGTATAAAGAGTCTCAAATGTGATTAAAAACTTCAATTTACAAACACAAAAGTCTTCTTGTAATCATGAAATTATGATAGCCTGGAATACTCCAACCAGTAGTATTTCCTAATTGTCCAGTTTCAAATGAGTATGTGGGAGATCACCTTCTGTTATTAGAAGGGAAAAAAAGTGGAGCATTTTGCTAGTGAGCTTGATAATGTAGTTTTTAAAATCTTTGTTGAATTTTAACACAACATGATAAACAGTACAAACAGCTGATATGCACATTTGGAGATTTCATTAACAACATTACAAACAGTTGTTGCATAAAGCCCTGTATAGTCCTTGAGCAGAGTATGACCTTCCTGCCTGCCTTTGGGTAGGAAACTCCATAGACACTGCTTTGCTTTTTTTGTTGAGCTCTTGCTGCTGCAGTATGTCCCCACATCATCGTAGTCAGAAGCAATTCATGCATTAGTTCCCTTTTCTTGTCATGACTTTGCAGACTTATGAACTGTTTGTTATAGGTCACCATTAATCCCACAGTCAGATGACCAGAAATGCTGTGTTATTTTATGAAATAAATGCACTCACAGTTACCGTGACAACCTGTGTTAAACAATGGAGCTGCTTCCAGTTTGATTAGCAAGAGTGAGGTTTCTGTAGTGACAGTAACCTCAGCAGACACTTCCCCTCAAGGTAACAGGGTCAGCAAGTGGAGTCCCTTTCATGTGCAGGCACACTCCCTAACACAGCTCTGCATATCTCAGGGCCTTGCTCCACAGTAATCAAGCTCCAGAGCTACTTAAGGAATACCACACAAGGCAAGGACAGCAGGCTGAAAATTTTACAGTCCAAGCAGATAATCTGTTCTGCCTTGCCCACCAGCCCAAGCCTCATGAGTGATCCACAGCTCAGTCTTAACCTTAAGTTATCCACCAATGTGCTACCTAACCCATGACTGAAGCCCAGGTAGGAAGCTGACCTTTCTCACCTCAGCAGTGATGATTCTGTGGGAGCTGTCAATGAGCAGCAGCTTCTGGGACTGTTGCTGGAAAACTTCCTATGCTCAAAGCTTGCAGAACCTAGGTTGTAAAAATATTGGCAGGATGGGATTAATATGTTAGCACATGCAAGGAGACTTCACCTTCTACCATGAACTTCAGAATACCTTTCATGCTTGCTTTGAGTTAGTGGTCAGAATCAACAATCCGTGTAAATGATCAATGAATCTGAGCTTGACAGTGACTGTAAATGTCTGTACAAACAATCACATTGCTCTGAAAAGACTATTTGGAATGCAATGTAAATTAATACATTACTTGAACTTGACTTCGCCGTGTCAGTTTTTGAGCAGCAGTGTTAGCAAAAGAACAGCTGATTTCTAGAACAAGCAAGACCCATTTACTCCTGTAGCACACCAGGGAAATGATAAAACTTTAAGATGTTAATACAATCCATAAGTTCAATGGGTTTTGTTATTTTATATTTACATTTTGTTTAAATTTGAAATAAAAGCATATATTTCCCTATGAAAGAAAGCTGATAGGTATTTGGTGTTGAAGTTCTTTGTCAGACTACCAGTTTTCATAGGTTTCAATGGTTCCTTAAGGAAGAAAATTATTCTTGTGTAAAGGAATGCAGAACTTAAAGCTTTAGGTGGAGTTTTAATTGTCCACACAGCTTAGTACAATCCATTAGTTTGAGTTAATTTTAACTAAGATGATAAGTAACTCAGTAATATTGAATTAGGGGGAAAAAAAGTTTTGTATGTGTGTTGTTTTGGGTATTCTTTAAAGTTTATTAGGGCAAAAGAAACACAGAAAGTTGAAATATAAAATACTGAAAACTCCAATTTAAATTCCAGATTGGGTTTCAGTACATTTACACACTTTAACTGTGCTCAGATCTGTACTGCAGCATCTTCCCAACATGCCACCTCTGACAGTGAGTAAATCACTGTGAAAATATTTTGCTTTTTATACTCTTGTTGTTGCAGTAATGCCTGCATAGGTCATAGCGCCAGGAGCAATTCCTACCATAGCTTTGCTGACTTAGGCAGAGCAAGAGCAGCTTTGTCCAGGGACTTTACTACCTCTAGATGCTGATTACAGATCAGCACTGGCTGCATATATACACCAAGGTATCAGAAGTGTTCTGTTGAACTGAAATTGATGAAAGAAATGCACTCAGACACACATCACCACGATCTGCGCTGCATAACACTACATAATTAAGTTTCTTTCTGGATTTTAATTAGTAAGACCATGGTTTCCATGGGAGGTTAGCGAATTCCTGGTAATTTGCATGCAAAAATCTGGAAGCAATTAAAAACAACAAAAATAGCCATATAAAGGCTTCTGGAACTGAAACTGAGTGATGATGCAAGCTAAATTTAGAAAAAATAATCTTACTTAAAGAATGAGCATTACTTGGGGTCAGTGTTAGGATACTCAGCCTTCTTTGGGTAAGGAAGGAATTGTTAAAATGAAATCTGAGTTAATCATTATGAATGAGGCCATTTTCCTGGCTTTGATCAAACAGGTAACTGAATGATTTTAGTCAGGTTTTTCTGTCTCCACTCTCCCAAGATACAAAGCAGAGGAGAACTGTAACTTCTGTCCTGGATTTTGGGCTACTTCTCGGAGGTAGGAAACTTTAGACTTGTTGGGTTCACCTACATCCTATGCCCATTTCATACTCAGGGTCACCCTGCTGTTTTACTGCACCCTTTAAATCCTACATTCTAATCCAAACCCAGCATTTTTGGACTTGATTTTTTATAATCTTATTTGAAATAATCCAGCCCATGTCTGTCACAGTGTCTTACTTTGTATGCCACTTGTAACTACGAAGCCACAGAAACCCAGAATGGGTCAGGTTGGAAGGGACCAGGCATGGTCACCTGGTCCAACCTCTCTGCTCAGGCAGGGTCATCCCAGAGCACATGACTCAGGATTGTGTCCAGATGGTTCCTGAGTGCCTCTGGTGAGGGAGATCCACAGCCTCTCTGGACAATCTGTTCCAGTGCTCGGTCACTTGCGCAGCAGAGAAGTTCTTTGTCATGTTCAGGTGGAACTTCCTGTGCATCATTTTCTGCCCAGTGCCTCCTGTCCTTTTGCTCGTCACCACTGAGCAGAGCCTGGCTCCATCCTCTGACACTCCCTTGGGACACTGGCAGACACTGGCGATGTTCCCTCCCAGTCGCGTCTCCTCGAGGCCCAACAGGCCCAGCTCCCTCAGCCTTCCCTCCTAAGAGAGATGCCCCAGTCCCTCACCCACCCTCGTTGCCCTCCGCTGGACAATAACTGCACAACAATTTTTGTAAAATAACTACACTTACTGTGTGTTACACAGCAGTTCACAGGGAGCAGGAACTACTCAGGCCTCGTTTCGCTCCCTGCGCGGGTAACGAAGCTCACTGTGGACCCTGAATTTACCAGGAGCCAGCGCTTAAGGCCGAGCTCACATAAGACTGCCGGAGGTGCTGTTTCCTTATCCCTGGCTTCCTGCACAGCTGGAGTATTTTGTCCCCTCACAAGAGCGGCTCCAGTAGAGATCACCCGAGCGCCCTGACACTCGCAGCGGTACCGAGGCGTGCGAACCCCGAGCACAGGAAAACGACACGGGGCCAGGCCCGGGCGGAGCCCGCGCGGGGCCGGGGCCGCCCGTGCTCCCCCCGCGGAACTACAGCTCCCGGCGTGCCCCGCGCCGTTCCCATGGCCACGGGCAGCCGGGCCCGCGCCCCGCGCCGCGATGCCCAAGGCCAGGTACCGGGAGCCGTGCCCGGGCTGGGGACGGCGGATCGCTGCCGCTGCTCTGGGGGAAGGGGCCGGCGGCCGGGGAGGACAGCCTGGAAGAGGGAGGGAAGGAGGGAGGGAAGGAGTGCTTTTTACGGGCCGTTCCGGCCTCTAACCCTAAAGCGCGCGGGGCCGAGGGCAGGTGGGGCACGCTTGGCCCTAGTCCGGTTGCTTCTGTAAGGGAGCCCACACAAACGGGCTCTGCAGGTGAGCACGGGGAGCCCTCCCGGCACACCGAGCGCCGCTCCGGAGCTCTCCCGAGCCCTCCGAGCCGTGCCCGGCTCCGGAGGCTGCCGCGGGCTCCCGCGGAAAGCCTGGCACGCCGCACGCCTTCAGAGGAGCCCCGCACCGCTGGGGGCTGCCCGGGAACGGGCGGAGTGACCGTCCCTGGAGGTGCTTCAGGGAAAGCCTGGACGTGGCACTGTCACCGCTGGACTTGGTGGTGTCCCGTCACAGGTTGGACTAGATGATCTCAGGGGTCTTTTCCAGCCTAATCGATTTTGTGATTCTGTGGTTGAACGTAGTCCAAGCAAAGCTTCCCGCTGTACAGCTGGTACGTGCTAAGTATGTGCCACAAGTGGCTGCTGGGCTTATTGAGGAATGTCACTTCAGCTGGTTTGCTTAGAAGTATTTCGACAAGCAGAGAGCAGGTGATGTGAAATTAATAATAATAATAATAATAATAATAATAATAATCTACACCACAGTAACCTTAATTTAGATGTTTTCAGGAATTAGGCCCTAAGGTGTGTGTTTTCTCTAATTCCTCCCTTCTTGCTTTGTTTTCTTCCAACTAGTGATACTTTATGGGATCTTGCTATAGCTGAAGTGGAGAAGAGAGAAAATCCTGATGATGATGATGTCAAGCCAGGGGAAGTTTGGGAAAAATCAATATTATTTATGGGAAACAAAAACGGGGTAATCTAAATACTGTACAATTCTACACTTTTCAAACATAATTTGTGTCAGGGAAAACATCTCATATTTTCAGATGTTAAAGTTTACCTAATTTTAAAGACATATCTCATGGTCTCATTTTACAGAGATCTAATTGATCACTAATGTCTGTTTTAGGTCAGTGTTCCTATTACTGTATTTGTCATGTCTATTAATTTATAGTAATAGTAGAATAACTTGATTCTGATTGAAAATTGGACTTGAGTTTCCACTATAAGACTGCAAACAATTACATGCATTTGCAGCTTTCTGGTACTTTATTATTGGAATGTTAAATGAATTTTTCTTAGTGATACAATTTTATGCTTTAAAGACAGTACAGTAGATTTCCTCTTTGTTTTTAATTTCTAGGGAAAGACCACTATCATACTGAGATGCCTTGAGAGGTATGTGTTAAATATTTTAAAGCAGTTTTCAGCTGTAGATTAAAAAACAGTCATATTGTGTGATAATTCATAATACAGGTATGCAGATGTGTTCTGTGACTGGTTGATCACTTAGGAATGAACTTATTTCCCTGCATTATAACCTCTCAGGTGACCCTTTCAGTCCTTCTCCAGTGTTAGCTGAAATGACTCATTTCTTTGGGCTGGTGCTGCTGCTTCTCCTGTATTCAGTACCTGACACCTCCTGTCTAAAAGTGTCTTCTCTGTACTGCTGTCTCTAAGCCAAATTCTGAACTGACTGATAAATACAATTTAGTAACGTAGAATTAACTTCCTTTCTTTAGAAGATCTTGACAAAATTCAGTTACTTTTCCTTTAGGGAAGAGTCTCCAAAGCCAACATTAGCTTTGGAATATACTTTTGGAAGAAGAGCAAGGAGACACAATACAGTGAGTATAAAGTATAATTTACCATATCTTTATGTATACACACAGACCTAAAAATAACATAAAGAAAATCTTTTGCAGCCTAAAGATGTAGCTCATTTTTGGGAATTAGGTGGTGGAACCTCATTAGTGGAACTCATTCGAATACCAATCACTAGCCACAACATAAGGTAAGTGTAAATATTAGAATTCCAGAGTTAATTTGAGCTTTCCTTCAAACATTACTAACCTCTAGACTTTTTGTTTTTGTGAAAACCTCTTTCAAAGTGTAAGATAGAACATTTATGGGGTTTTGCTAAGAATCACTGTAATACCATGATGCTTTGCTTTGGTCTTCCTTTTCATGCTTCTCTCCTAAATAACAAATTCTAAGTAATCTCAACAAAACATGGAGGAAGTAGGTTGGCCTTAAGTAGCTAGAACAAGAAATACAGAAAAAGAAAAGATATCATATCTTTATGCTCACTGAAGAGCTAGAAAACAGACTTGGGGACATATGAAAAATAAAATCTTGTTTTCTGCTTTCATGTGCACACATAGATGCTCTTTCTGTGACTGATATTTTAGGGTGAAAAACATGGCCAAAAATTGTGACAAAAAAGTCTCTGAATTTTTGGGAAATGACCTTTTAATGAAAAGGTAATTTCCTAACAGAGAGATGACATTTCCAGGAGGAACCAGAGCTACTGAAATTGTTTGAAAACAAAAGGAAACAGAAATTTTGATCTAATTAAGAGAATGCAGTGAGAAAATCCAGTAATGGATAACATAAGAAGAAGAAGAAATGCATGAAAAATTGCATGAAGAAATGACAAGGTGATAGGGGGTGCTTTTTATGTTGTTGGTTTTTGGGGGTTTTTTTTTGTTAGGGAAGATGGGAGTTAAAAGGGTAGAAAAGGATCAAAAGACAAGCTTTGTATTATGATCTATTGCTTTATTTTATTTGTATTGACCTTTAATTTCTGTGAGGAAGAAAAAGGAAGGATATCATTTTTATCAGGTATATTTGCTCCTGTTTTGACTACTGAGATAATGCCATTATTTGCTGAGAGACTAAGAAAGAGAGAATAAAAATAAAACACTTATGGCATGTGAAGCTCTTTGTCTTTAGAAGAGCTTGGGAGAGAAAAAATTATGTATAATTTTTCAGTCCCTAACTAAATTAAATTAATTGAGCTCTACCTCCATCAGTCCTTTCTTCCTTTTTTACTGATAAGGGATTTTCTGATGTGAAGAATCTTAAGATTGTTTGCTGGGATAGCAGTGTTCTGTAAGAACAATTCACAAGGCAATGTTTTAACATGCCAGTAAAAATTCTACTATTCCAACAAATATAAGTGCATTTTGCTGGTTTTCTCATCATTGTACTCAAGCAATTTGCTTATTTAAAAGTTCCCTAAACTATATCTAATTTCATCAAGAGATTTTTCTTCCCCCCAGCATTTTATCATGAAATTGAACATTCAGTTTTATTCGTAGCTTTTGCAATGCCACTCTGGTCTGGAATCCCCTTTTTCAAGATAGGCTAGAATGAGACAGAATGATGGCATCCATTCAGATTACTGCACTTGCAATGATCTTCACAGTTGCACTTAAATGCAGCTGGTGTTTTGGGAGGGAGGGTTTATAAAGAGAGGACTTCAGATGTAAAACATTTCTCATTAACCATCCACCTTTAAAAGTCTGGTAGTAGCTAAGGATGTCATGAGTATTCTTTTATCTTTCAGAAGACTTTTCTCAGGCATCCATTCAAGGTTCCAACAAACTGTCACAGTCCATGACACAGAATATTATCCTTAACCAGATTTTATTCATTTCATATTAGAAAAAAATAATGAAAGTAGGGGACTTTCCCAGGTATACAGGGAACACAGGTAATAGTTAGGAAATATTATAGCCATTGGCTAACAGTGCTTGGTCTGGGTTGTAGACTTATGAGATGGCAGGGATACATAACAGCAGAAATCCTCAGTCATACAGGAAGGAGCTACAGGGCTGAGGATTGTTGTGTATGTTACTGTTTGAAGACAGTCCCCAAAAACAATGCTTGATTGAAAGTTGCCAAAATAGTAGTTCTGAACAAGAGACAAGGGAAAGGTTTCTTCAGAGTCCAGAATATCCCTAAAAGCCATCTTACTTTGCTGTCACATTTGATTCTATCTTAGTAGTTAGATGTTCACATTTGCACTACAGGTGTGGCTTTGTATGAAAACATTGACTGCCTCATGCGCTAAATATGTGACCAAATAATGCCTGTTTCATAGGTCATTTGCTGTGGTTCTGGTACTGGATCTCTCCAAACCTAATGAGCTCTGGACTACTATGGAAAGTCTTCTGCAGGTCACCAGAAGCCACGTGAACAAAATTTTAACCAAACTAGAAAAGACAAACCCTGAAGTAGCTGCTGAAATTAAACAGAGAATGTGGAACAATCTGCAGAGGGATCACCCTGTAAGTTACTTCTAATATTTTCTCCAGATGTCACAGGCCTTTATACAGTTAAAGATAATGCTTTAGAAAATCATAAACAACTCTTTTAGATTTTTATGCATGACTGAAAATCCATTTGATGTAGATGAACCTGTTCACTGGAAAATTATAGCAATTTAATAAAAATTCAATAAGAGCAGAAACAAGGAAAGAAGGTTTCTTATATCTTTTTGTTAGATATCTAATGTGATTGTTATGGCATGTTACACCAATCAAAAGAAATAGTTTTAGAGTAGCAGTTTGCTTTTTTTCCCCCTCATCTTTTTAAAATGAAGATGAAAACTAGAATGTACAAAAGTCATCTAGCAAGAGACTAGCTGAAGGTACAAATTTAAGCAAAGAATATAGTTATAACAGCCATCAACATGACTATATACTTTGCATTTATTTAAATGTCTATCACAAACTCAATGCCTTTTGATAATCTGACAACTAATTAAATTATAAAGTTTCAGAAATGTTAACATCAGTCCTTTAAACATAATTGCTAACTAAATCTCTGGAAAAGCTAAACTAGATTATGCGCAATAGAAATGAAAAGTCATTGTGCGTTAAACCTCTGCAAATGTTGTGTGTATATAATGCATAAATAAGTATTCAACAATTCAAAGACCTGGCATGTAAATCTACTTACTGTAACTTCTATAAAATGCTTCAATACAGCAAGTGCTTGTAGAGCTCAGAAATTTAAAAGTAACTCAAAATATATGAGAAAGCAACATATGCAGGACTCTGTAGATTTAGCGTATGGAGTTTGATACTGGGATTATTTTGGTTTTTACTTTAGAGAAGATAATTAAAAAAAGATAACACCTACATGCACAAACAAATGGCAATAAATTATGACCACAGTATCTAGTTTCATATAGGGTTTTACATATCAGAAAATTACAAGTTTATTGCAATAAAGAAAAATAATAATGCTATTATTTGTTAAGAAAACTTGTTATCCTTGCACTGTAGGAAACACAATTTTACCTTCTGAACTGAAATTTCTGTTTATCTTCCATTATCAAAGACATCAGTAATGCAAATAAAATATTATATTACTGCTAGGTTCTCTTCGTATTTTCATCATTGTTCAAAGAAAAATTGTGTCAGTTTATTAGAAAAAAATACTATCTTTTATAATCAAATTAAATGATAGTTCATGGAGATCTTTAAGTGCCTTTTAATGGTTAAACATATTTTTATCATAAACAGGAATCAATTAAATACTTATGTTTTTAAGGATTAAGATATATTTCAGTGGCCTAGCTAAAGAATTATTTGCTATAATGATAAAACATATCAATTGCAGACCCTGTTTAAAAGGACTGAATGCATCTAAAGTACTCCATAGTCAAAAATAAATTCCACAGTCAAAACATCAGTAGGGTTTAATATGCTAGTTTTAAGGTTTCTGATGTTATCCCAAATTTTTCCTCTTAGTTATGAAATGAAAACTTTTTTTTTCAGTTTTATATTCTATATACTGTTTTTAAGTTGTGCTAGTTTTGCTTAAAGCTTTTGCTTTGACAGTGTATGAGTGAAGCCATTATTTCTCCTCTCCAAGCAGAGGATTTTCAGTACGTGCAGCTTCTGCCAACATTCTGTCATTTAACCTGTCTGTGAAATACCTGGGGTTAAGAGGGAGCAGTTGGACCAGCCTCTGCTACAACACATCTTTCTTGCACTGCTGCAGCCAAGGCAGCTTAAATAAATAAATAATTGCTTGGACACACAAGGACATTATCTCATTTCATATGGACTACAGCAAACCCTTCCAGATCACTTGAGAATTCTTGTAATTCACTTATTAAAATTTTTATCCCTTTTTTATCCCTCCTAACTTTAGCTATTTAGCACAGAAGTCTGCACTCTCAGACCTGTTTTCCTCCATTGATACTAATTCACATTTTCAAGACTGTTGGATGATGTTTCCTTTCTGTGCTGACATCAAACATTTGAAATTCACATTAAATATTGTTTAAGTGTTTGGAAAACACAATATGGGCAGAACAAATGTGTGACACAAGCAAATAATTCAATTTATTTTTCTTGAGGTTTTCTCTGCATTCTTTTAGATATTATCCAAAGAATGTGAATGTGTCAAAAGTTCTACTAATCCAGCCAGGCAGGTGTTCTATGAATACATGAGGGTTTTCCTCTCTTCCTTTCCCATGTAATAATGTAATATATAGTGTAAAAGCCCTTTTATTCCAGTAAGTGTTCTAACTGCTCAGAGGGATTGCTTCCTGACCATTTAGGAAGAAAATGGGAAAATGGTAGAATATAATATGGATATTGCAATAAAGTTGATTCCTCTACTTTAAGGTTTGGAAAACCTTCTCTTCTGTGAATTTATTTCCATCTCTTTCAGTTGCTTTAACAGTTGCAATCTTCTACAGTTTTTTTACAGAGCTTAACTGTCCTATATCTTTTAACAGGACAGTGCATTAGTTGACCCTTTTCCAATACCCTTGGTGATAATTGGAAGCAAATACGATATTTTTAATGTAAGTAATGCTTAAGTACCTTTTTAATAATTATTCCCAGTAACTATTCTATATACTAAGATTTTACTAATACAACAGTAATCTTTTGAACTAAAGTGTGGAAAGCCAGTCTTCTACCACCAAAGAAAAAAAATCTTTCCATCCAGTAGCATTAAGGAAGGCCTACTGTCATTCCTTCACAAAACACCCCCAAACTGATGATTTTTGGGATGCATGTAGAAAATGCTTCCCTTTTTGGTCTGCAGCAACTTGTGTCTCAACAAGAAAACACCACATGGATGATTTCCTTTTATAATGAGAGAAATCCAGCTCCACGTGTCCCTTGTGACAGCAGCTCTAAGTTTATGGCACTGAAAGAGGGGTGTATCTCAAGTCAGCTGATCATATTTTTTTGATAGTTGTGGCAGTTTCAGTCTGGTACTTTACTTTTAAAGCACTTCCTAAGTTTCTAGAGACAAGTGAGGAATTGCATCTTTTATGGAGGGGAGGAAGGAAATGTCATAGTACTGCTGGATTGTCTCCCAGGACATAAAAATCCCTAACAAACATATACTAACTACACTTGATAATGAGAAACTATGTTTGATTTTTAGCAGTTGTGCTGGCAGCCTGTGCTTCTCTGGACGGCTGCACAGAGCACTTGATACCTGGCTGAGTCTTTGAGTTACTAAATTCTTTATTAATAAGGGACTTGCCTTCTCTCATACCAAAGCTTTATGCTGAGCCATGACCCCTTTAAACTACTGTCATGTAATAAGGACAAAATGCCAGCCTGACTCCTTTGGAGGTCTATGGATTGACTCCTGCAGGCATCACTGGGACAAAATTTTCACCCATTTTATCCAGGGAACACTATCTTTATGATCTTAGATGAAACAGACATGGATGAAAAGGTATTTTGATGCACCTTTCAAATCTTGCAGGTATTAGAATTTAGACGGCATATACCCAAAGATTTACTTAAATATTTTCACAAAAAGAAAAAAAAAATCTTATTCTACTAGTAGGCAGCATTCCTATTAGTAAAAATTTAAAACAATATCAAACAAGTAAATTGAAAATTAAATGTGCATTCTCAATTTAAAAACTTTTCCTGGACTAACATATTGCCTGAATTAGGCTTCATCTGTAAAAAAGAAACAAAGAGAAATTGTGACATTTCTTTTTAGAGTAGGCTGTTACTGATTCTGTCTTAAGATATAATTATGCTGACAGCTGAAAGCCTTATATATTGTAGCTTAAGTGCACTGCAGTTTATATAAAAAAAAGAAAAGTTCTAACTGTAATATTTTGGGTTTTTTTCCTACATCTATGTTCCACTATCAACTTTTTCAGGAGTTTGACTCTGAAATGAGGAAAATAATAAGCAAGACACTTCGATTTGTTTCACATTATTATGGAGCGTCATTAGTGGTGTGTATATTTACTTTCTATTTATGAATAGAGAAGATGAACAGTATTTCTGTTACAAAACAATATTTTTTAAAATAGTACCATAAAACTCCTAGAGAAAAAGGGATTTCATTGGTTTTACAGTAGCTTTCTTCAAGAGGCTATCTGTTGAACAAGTCACTGCACTGGCAGGGGATGGATGGACATGCCTTGTGAGCAAACTACACAATTCCCAGTATCGACAAACACTAAAGAACAGCAGTTACCTGATAGCCAGCTTAGTTCCTGCATTGAGTTTACTGCATCTTGGGCAATTTTTTTTTTGGTGCAAGACAGGAGAATGGGCAAAAGTGAATGCCTTAGATTGAATTAGAGAACTGACCCTTTTGGTAGAAGCATGAACTTATATGAAGTGACCAAGCTTCCATAGATTTAAAATCATTGGCTCATTTTCACAGTAGTTTAAGTATACCAGATTACTACACTTAGGGTGTTGAAGAAGGAAAGGAGCTTCCTTACAAAAGTGGATAGAAAGATGAGGACATGAGGACAAAGAAATATTTATTTTAGTTTGTCAGATCATTCTCTGAGTAAAGACAGAAACATGCACGCTGAGATTCACAGTCCAATAACACTGCCTCTTGGGCTCACTGTGCATCAGAAGATGGGTCTAATTGTATCAATCATCATATATGTAATAAATAATATTTAATAGCAGCTTAGTGATTACCAAACAACTTATGTTTACTTTGAACACTTATAATCCCAGCATGTCCTTCTGCATCCATGTAAAGCTTTTTCACTCTGGCACCCAAATCTGTCTTTTGTTAACTGAGAGTACAACTGTCTTGGTTGAGATTTTTTTAGTATTTAAGCATTATTGTAATTAAAAATTAGAATATAAATCTCTTTGTCTGTTTAATCCTGATTGTCATTGAAATGAGAGGGAGAAACCTAATTTCTCACAGCAGGGATCTGACTTCTTTCTCGAAGACATGAATCTGTTAGGATACAAAAGCCCTTAGACAAGAAGAAGCATGTTGTTTGAGAATATATTCTGAAAATTGCTTTCTGATAAATCTGTACCATTCTGCCAATTTGAAGCTGTTTTTATGACAGTTCTATAGTTATTCATTACATTTCTAAATGTTTATGGTATTCTGGATAATATTTAATGTAATTTAAAATCTTAACTCCTTAGTCTTGGGGAAAAGATTTGTGTCTTGTAATATCCATGTTTCAAAAGTTTTTAATCAGTATTTTAAAAAAATATTCTTTAATCTTTATTTATTCTACTTTTTAATCTTTCTTGATCTATATATTCAGTACCAAGTATATTCATGTTTTTGAAAGGGAATGTGAGATTTTTATTCTAGTCAATTTTTGAACGTACACCAAATTTATTTGGGTCAGGTATTAATTAGCAAGGCTCTAGCCTATTTGTAGATGGCAAAATGCAATATATCTATGATGGAAGTTCATGATGTATATTTTGTTTTTTGATTCATTTAGTTTACCAGTAAATCTGAGGCTCTCCTGCTGAAAGCCCGTGCTCTTATTAATCACTTGGCATTTGGCTATGATAAAAGGTAATGTTATTGTTCAACTATTAAATGTCTTGCTCAGAGCCTGAAATTAATTATTAAAATATTTAATATTAATTTCTTTTTCTTAAATATTATCTCTGAAAGATTTTTTTCATGGACTTGTACTCCTGTGATTCAGCTGCCTATCTCTCCTAAGGACAGTGACAACTCCTTAGTATTGATCCTCAAACAAATGAATTAAAAACATGGTTACCACTGGAATAGGGTACTGTTTTATTTAAATGTATTTATATGCAAACCCCAGTAAGACTCTAGTCTTGGCTAGAGTAGTGTTGTTTTTTGTTGATTGCTAAATGCTCACGTGATACATTTTCTGTTTTTCTGTTTAGCAAGTCTGTATCAGTGGATCCCAGCAAACCTCTCTTTATACCAGCAGGCCTGGATTCCATGAGCCAAATAGGTTAGAACATTTCCTGTTCATTGTTTGTTGCTTTTGAAAAGAAGAAAAACATTTTAAGCAAATAGATAAATTACAGCACATCAGCATCAGTTTTAACAGATTGCTGAAGGAAATAGCTTATAGATTTTAAAATCATGATTCAGTATATTACTGAGAATTATTTGTGCAGGTTTGTTAGGTAGTTTAATAAAGTCTCTGGACTATGTAAAATAGTAAAGTACCAATAAGCTTAGATCTGAAATAAAATAAAATATACAAAACCTCTCAGCCCATTTCATGGTAGGAGATCAATGGTTTTTGCAAACTTCTACACTGTTTCAGCTTTTCAGTGTAGAAGGTAAAATACTAAATTAGATGGTTCATTATGCAAAATTATTCTGTGATTTATGTTGTTATGACAACACACTTGTCTTATGTGTGCTGTGATCCTCAGGACCACCACCTGCCTCTGACAGTGATCTTGGAAAGATGCGTGCCAACACACCTTTGGAACTATGGAAAAAAGTATTTGAGAAAACATTTCCTCCCAAGGTAGGGATGTAGATGGCATGCATACAGCTGCTTTTCTCATAGAATAGCAGCACTATCCCTGCTCCTTTTTGTCTTTCACGTCCACTGACTGGAATTTTAGTCTCACTTAGCAATTCTCTTCAATACATTTTTAAAAGATAAAGGCTTGTATGTAGTACTGCTCCTACGTCTTCAGTCACCTTCCCACATTTAGAAATTATGAAAGATGCTGTTCTCAGTATGTAATACCCCAACATGATAAAGACTAAACTTCTTAGAAACTGTAGAGAAGTGTTAGTTTGCATGTTATTTTTCCTCGTAGCCTTTAAAAACACAATAAACAAATGTTTCCTCCTGCACCCACCCCTCCAAGCACCCCCTGAACTCCCCCTGAAACAGCTGGAGAAATGAATACACTTCTCATCTGGCAAGATCCATGGCTGTTCATCAGCGTATCAGTCTAATTAAAGATTGAAACATTTGCCAAATAGATGAACAGCCTCTTGGTTTGGTTCCACAGCAGACTTTAAACTTTGAAGCTATTTTTATGCATTGTAAAACTCTTTTTCCATTGCCTCACCTAGGAAGTAGAATTCTGCTTTATTTTATTCCATCACTGGTATTATTGCCTTCTTGCTACTTTCCATTTGATATGATTAAGGAGAAATATGCCAGACAATATTTAAAAAAACCCTCCTAATTTGATAGTTTTTCTTACTATTAGTATATTTGCTTCTTTAGAATTCAAGTTATAGTTTGCTCAAGGCTAGGAAATGACAATGCAGATATTTGGCAAAGATAGCAATCAGTTTCTGAGCTATTGAAGTAATGCTTCTGATAACGAGAAGTGAATTCTAGTCACGAGTATTAAATAGTTTATCAAGGGCAACCTCAGCTGTGCCCTGACATCATGGACCAGAAAGGATATTTTCATTTTCATGCACAAGAATAATAACCAACCACCACGTAAGAATAGTTTCTGCCCTTTAGAATCTAGCTGCACTCTTGTTTTTTCTTCACTTTACTGATAGTTTGGGTTTTTTTAACTAATCTGTGTCCTGTAGCACAAAATTGTACCATAAATGCAAGCTTTTAATATATTTGCATTAAAAGAAAATACTTCAATTTCTATAGTGTGGCTTTTTCTTATTAAAAGAAGATAAATTCTATCATTTGGGGTTTGTCTTTTCTCCTTTTAGAGTTCCTGTGATTTACAAGATACCAAGGACCCTGCACAGGATAGTCAATATGCTGAGTATGAAGTTGATGCCATGAGAGCTCAGAAAAACCAGGTGTGTGGTAATTCTCCAAATGCTGTTCACAGTCAGGTATTCCAGAACTGAATAGTTTGCTGAACTATTAGTATATAGTTGTACCTTCCCTTTTTGCCCTTAAATAATTTCAGCTTTAGATTTCAGCTTAGTAGTTGGTTGTGAGGTGTTTTTCCCGTTGTTAAATACTAAGCCAGTAGACCATTGTTAGATCTCAAAGTTTTGGCTCTGAGTTTCTTTAGAAATTAATAATTCAAATTTTCCCTCAAACTGTACTCTAAAATTAACTCACTAAAATAAACTTTGAAGCTTTCCTGACAGTCATTTCCTCATTTCTTCACTCTGTACTCTCATTTGAGTGTTGACTAACAGAAAGTGTAGGAAATAATATCCAGGTTTGTGGTGGGGACTTTTTACTTCTGTCTTTCTCCTTCAAAACTTATTTAAACTGGAAAGGTACTGAGATGATAACATTTTAAACATGAATTTGCAGGCTTGTGGACATTTTATCTTAAATAGAGTGAATGGAATTGTTCCACAGAGTGATGACATGTGGCTTAACCCCTGAATTCCGGGACAGACCTTTAATGGGGAAAGGGTCTTCTGTTTTTTCTTTAAAATGTTGAAGTGTTTCTGCCTTTTTCTAGATTAGTGGGGAATTAATTTTATAGAAAAATTCTGTGGCAAACTAGGTGAAGGGTAAATGCTTGCCTTACAGCTAACAGTATATACCAATATATAACTGTTACATACAGCAGTACTGTATATAACAGTTTTCATCAGTATGGGTATGTTCATAGGTGTCTGTTAAGATCAAACCAAGATTTATACAAAGAATAAAGCACTTTCAAAAATTCCCTGCAGCGTTTGAAGCTACACATTACCTGCAATATCCTGTTAATGCAGGTATCAGTTCTGAATTTCTGTCACATCAAGAACAGTGTTAGAAATCATTAAAATTGGTAAAGCATGCTGCTTTTGGAATGTATAACACAAACATAGTATAGCTACGTATCTCAAAATAAGTATATAGTGTACTACATTTGTTATTTTTACATACTAATGTGTTGCAAAAGAAGGTACTGGTATGTATTGATTAAATCATACAGGAAATTATTAATTTTCTGTTTTTAAGCAAAAGCGAGAGGCTTTTAGAATCTTAATCTGTTCAAGGGCATTGCAAACCATTATAGCTTCTTTTTGTTGGACTACTACAAGTAATTTGAGCATTAAAGAGATAATTACTTTTGTTATCTGCAGTTATTTCCTATGTTTTTATTGCAAAGTTTAATTTTTATAAGATTATTTGCACATTATTAAAATGTTTTATACTAAGAATTTGAATTGCACCAAGCTAGAAATACATATCTAAAAGAAAAGAACTCTCTAGCTGCAGTGTTTCTTGAAGTGTCCTTCAATTTTCCAGTTCAATGGAACGCAGCACAAAAATCATATTTTTAAAGCAACTTTTTAAATTCATCGTGTGTCTGACATTCTTTATAGAATCTCATGGTACCTGTTGCATAGGAGGACCAGTATATTAAGACTGTCAATATGCAGCATGTTGCTAATGAAATCATGGGACCTAATGCAAAATTAAAACTATCATGTGATGATAGTGAATTGTTTTCATGTTATCATTTTTCTCGGTTACTTTCGGTTAATTAATGTTACTTTGGACTACAGATGATAGCCTATGTGCTTATTTATCTCAAAGATAAGCTTCAAAAGTAAAGAAGCACAAAACCAGCAAGGAAAGCAAAACACAGCCCCTGTCACTGCATCTGATAGAAGAGCCAGCAACACCTGACTGACTCAGTCCTCATCAGGACTGCTCGATAATACTGTAATAGATTTAGAGATAACTGTGGCAATACAAAGTCTGAATAAATAATTTCCAACTTTGTAATTCTGATAGAAGGATTTGCCTGCACTCTAGCAGAGTACAAGGTTAAATTCTAATTCTTAAGGATAAAATGAGAAAACAGTTAAAAAAAATCAAGGAAGTCAATGGCTGATCCGAGGTACTGTTAGCCAGCATTTATCTGAGATAACTGTTTTCTTTTAGACCAGATTATTTTGCCTCTTTAATATTTTCAGAGTCAACTATGAGGTGTACCACTTTTTTTCTAAACATTTTTGCTCTGGAAAGCTCTTTGAGGCTGTCTTTTCCTCACTGTGCCTTTCTTCAAGATGGAGCACATCTCTCTTTCTCATCTATGTCTCTTCAGAATTCTTATCCTAGTTCTTGCCCTACAGACATACATAGCACCGATTTATATCAAATAGTGCTGCTGGAATTGCTTACTGCTTTTCCTGCCCTGTAGTTAAGCTCTGAGAGAGAATACAGCACCAGGGACCCTTCTGAAAATTATATCTCTAATGTAATTCTTAGCTAGCAGAGTTTCTCCAGGAATTACTGGAATTTTGTGGTTTTTGCGGAGCTTTTAATATTTAAAAAAAAAAAATCACTCTGTTATTAGGCCTTAAATGTGTAGGTTTTGGTTAATTCTTCGTAAATAAATCGCATGGCAAACTTATCATCATCTATCCATTCCCTGTTAGCTGTTTGGCTTTTGATGCTTTCAGGTCACCTTAATTTGTTTTTTGGTACACACATAACCTGAATAAGAGTGAGATCTTTTAAAATAATATTTCTGATTAGAGCTACGTGTATACACCTGCATCAGTGAGCACCTATGGGGAGGATGAAAGTCTTGTTCCTTAGTTCCTTCTAAATGTTTGTGGCAGTGAGAGCCTGGCACATGGGAATGTCTGTTCTCTTTCTTTTAGAAATGCTTTCTGCCACAGATCTAAGTACTCTAAGGTGTGTTTTTGAAGGTTTTTCTTTGTTTTCTGATATGCCTTCACTGCTAATGCTCAAAATAGGTGCTTGGACCTTTTGATCTGGACATTTGACTGCAGCTTCATTCATCGATGCAACAGATAAAGCTCAGCCTTGAGCTCGATGAACTGGAGAGCCTCCTACTTATGTGCTTCAGAAATCATTGCAGTGCTAAAGTTCAGCGTGACTGGTCCTTGTTACACAGAGCTATTACTTCAGGGATTGGTGCCAGTTCTAGCTGAAGCCTCATGCCATGAAGCGAGGTCAAAAAAGTAGATGCATGGTGCCATTTGGTGTCAGCTAGCAAGTCATGGAAGCAGATCTTAATGAACAGAGACATAACTGTTAAGACTTTAAAAAGTCATAAACACAAGAAGATTCTACATCTCACAAGGAAGAATAGTTGCATTTCCCCTAAAATTGCAGCAACCTAATCAACTCACAACCAAATGTCACCTCCATGTCAGTTATGCCACTGACATGGGGACTGTGCTGGCCAACAGACAGAGCCATATTTTTCCAGCACAGTTTGCTGACATGATCATATTGCTGAACTTCAGGAGACCATTTCAGTCACATTCCACAAAAAACAGAAGATTTCATACTGTGCCATGGTCACAGCAGTATTACTGGGCAGAGAAATATAATAGGCCCCTACCTTAACCTGCATAACAGAGAAGTAACAGCTTTCATTTTCTCCACAGGAGGACATGTGCTAGTCCTCGTAACAGAAAAAGTTATTTAGGATACTTACTTAGCTGCCAAGAAGAAGCTTTCTTGTTTTCACATGAAAGCATGTTCAAATGGGTAAAAAGGATTTAATTTTTAAATTAAAGACCATTATTAGAGCACTGTTATTAAATTTTCTACTAAAGTTTTTGTCCTTAAGACTTTTAATTAGTGTTTCAGTACTTGGTTGCTTTCACCATGTTCCACATTGAGGGCACTTCCAGTAAGAAACTGCATGAAAAGGAAAGTTGAAGCCATATCAGTCACTCAGAACAGAGGAAATGCAACAATTAAGGCTTTTCCTACAATCTTAATTTTTCCTTCTTGTTTGTAGACATTGTAGTATTGTCTTTAATTACATGATCATATACTATTTTGCTGATGTCTCAATTCAATTGTTCAGTATTTCTTTTCATCATCCTTATTCTTTATGTACCTTATTTTTCAACCTGCCATTCAGACACTTCAATGAACACAAAAGTATTAATTTTTTTTCTCTGAGAGTGTGTGGTAATGTTATCTTATCTGAGTGCCTCACAAACATCAGTTAAGTCTTTCTTCCCAATCCCTTTATAAGATTAGGTGTGATCTTCCCCATTTGACAGATGAAGAATTTACAGAAACACATAAGTACAGAAGCATTAAGGTTTAAAAAAAATTAAGCCCACTTTATGCCAATGTTGAGATATCTGTGATAAGTCGCTAGCACTAATTACATTTAAAGCATTCAGATCACATGGAAAGCGCATTTAAATTGCAATTATTTTTTCTTTGTATATCTGATCTCTGCCCCCTACACTTGCACCCACAAAACAAGCATAGCATAATGCTAGCATGAAGATTTTTGTGTACTTTCAGATACATTCTTTTGTAGGATCTTCTTTTCTTTGGAGAGATGATCTCTTAGCTGATTGTATCATCAGTCTACTCTAGAATTCTGCTCATATTTGCAGTATAGAACTTGATGAGCAGGAAGGGGCCTTTTTCAAAAAGGTCCCTGGAGTGATCTTTAAGTAGTGTTTGTAAGAATTTCGCATTAAATTTCTGATTTACAGGGATGTATTTTACTTTCTATTTTGCATAGAAACTAGGTAGGTGTACTTTGCTGATATTTTCCCTCCTGAATCACTGGCATTTTAAAAAAGATTATTTTTTCCTATATATCCTCCCATTTAATAAATTTTTTGGGGGTTTTTTTAGTTTTTTTTTTACTTATTTCATTGTTTAAATGTTAGCCTTACCTAGATACACATCCAAAATAAATACTTATAATTTTGTTCGGTGCTTCTGTATGTAGTGGAGTAGCTATACAGCTTTAATATGTGCTGTGGTTTGACAGTTTTCATGTTTGTATTGTTTTGAATTGCCTTTACACTGAATTGCCTCCTAGGCTAGCTAAACATAGAAGAAAATTAATTCTGCTGAATTATCTGCCTGTTTCTTGAAAGAGTTTAATCAGAGGGTAAATGTGCAAGGGTAATTATTTAACCAACACCTGTAGACATGACCCCAGATGGTATTGTCATTATATAAAACCTGGCTATCTAATTTTACCCCTTCCTGAAACCTTTGAGAAAGTTTTAAAATGAAATTACTTAGCAAAAATCAGGTTCCATGTGCTCCTTAAAATACCACAGTATTTTTTCTATTACTAACTGTTGGCAAGTTTCCAACAGTTCAATATGTTCCAAGATCAAAATTACTTTATATTAATAACAAGGGAGTGAAAATAGTGAATAAAGACCAGCTTAGAGATAGAACACTTCAACAGTACTGGAGCTGTAGCTTATAATGCAACTTACTGGCTTTAGCCTAGACACAATATGTTCTGTCTCAGTCCCCCATGGAGTTACTTAACCCTACCAGCAGACTCCTACAAGCATCAGGAAGATTGTGCACTAACTAAAAATCTTCTCTCAGCTTATACAGCTGGGATGCTTTTTGGAAATTCTGCACCTCTGACAAAGCTGCTGAAATTACTTCCTGAGAGAAAATTCCATTTATTACTTCCATATGATCCTAAAATGATGATTGCTTTGTTGTTCTGCCCTTTAATTTCTTCTTCTTCCCTCTGCTCTGGACTGATAGTTAAAATCACCAGGTGTGAATTTTGGTATTTTTGTCCTGCTGATACTTGCATGCCTACAGGAAAACCTCTCTTTAATCAAAATAACAATTGTAAAACACATGTCCACATGTCTACCTTTTGCTACATTTATCCTAAGCACTGATTTATCTCCAGCTCTTTCCTGATCTAAGTAAAATATGGTGAGTTTTTGTCTTGCAAGCAGTACCGGGTTAGGTCTAAAAGTACCTCATTAAAGTATCATCTTCCTGTAAATTTGCTGGAAGCCTTACTCTGAAGTGAATGAAAAGCTATCCTAATGCTTCCTAAGTTATTATTTTTTGCTGAAAAATCTTTAGAAATGACTCCTGACAGCACACACCCCTACATAAAATTCAGCAAAGGAAACTGTTGTTTGTAATGGTGCTAGAAACTCCTGTTATAGGCTTCAGAGCTCCCATTTGGCTCAGATGAGGTCATTTGTCTACATTGCTAGTACTCTACTGATCTAAAGTACAGCAAGATGTAGCTCCCTACGTGACAGCAGTTGTGGCAAAATCCATAGCACTTTTAGGATAATTTTGTTAAATACAGAAATATAGTACACCTCTGCAGTGAGAAGTGTTTGTACATACATACATTTGGCAAGTAAATACATGAAGTTTCTGGAGACTTTTATTAATGAGAAAATTAGCTTAATATGTATTTATGTTTCTCTTTTAGGAACTTGAACAATACAAAAGAAATGCCTCTAAATCTTGGAAAGAAATGGATTTTGATTCTGATTGATGAACTGCTCTGTCTTCAGTTTAACACCATTTACAAAATTATTTTTATCATTTTTACATTACGTTAGAAATTTGATCTGATGCAGTTGAAAATATATAATACCAAACTACAACGTTGGTATTTATTAAGCATCCCTGCTGTTATTTTCCGGAAAAGGAGCTGTTTATTCACTCAGTCCAAATTTGTTTATCTTGGCACTAGCAAAGAGTTTTAAAAAGTGGGGTGAAAGGAGTTCTTGATTGCTCTCAGATGGGTCTGTATATGAAGACTGGCATTACTCAATTCTATCTATTTTGTAAGTTATAACACATTATTTGATTTACTTTTGAGTACTTCTACCCTAAACATATATTTAAATATAAACAAGTTTTCACACCCAAAATACGAAATTGTGTGGTGTGCTAGGCATCTTTTTGTAGTTCAAAACCAAAGCTTAAGAGATACTTGTATAATTGTTTGATGTGTTTGAATAAATAAAAAACCCTAAAACTGGTAGAATAAAGTGGAGTTAAAACCTTCTTTGACCTGAATTCAGAAGTGTGTGTGAGTCTCTGTCACAGAATCATACAGTTTAATACAGGACTTATTTCTTGCAGTGTATAATGTCACACAGAGTTTAGAAGATGGATGTTTCTGTCACACATTCAAATGCTAGAAAGTCAGTCTAATTAATGTGACAGATAGTTGGTTAGTGTTGAGAGTATTACTGATTCACATTCAGCCTACAGCAAGAATGGGTTTTTGTCCATGCACACCTCACTAGTGTGAGATGCACTGAGTGTTCTGAAAATACCCAAGACAATCCAGATCAAAGCCAGAGGTGTCTCCTGAGAGCTCAGACTTGTCGGAGTGAATGTCTGAACAGTCACTTGGCAAACCAGATCAACCCTACATGCTCATAAAAATGGGAGAGACAGACTAATCTGGTATCTTTCCAGCTATTTAAAGCTATTTGTTATGTTTAACATATTCATTCACCAGATGTTTTTCTGATAACAACATTTATATCTCAGAATATTTTACATAAAAATAATAGAAAAATACACTTAAGTGGAAGTGTATTACCTTGAGGATTTGATTTAAAATTCCTTGTTATGAACTGCCTCATCTCAAAACTATCATATAAACTAGCTATATAATTACAGAATTTTAAGATACAAATATACTTACCTCCTTGGAGAAATCTATCTCTCTGCAAAAACTAATTTCTTCACAGAACATGAAAATAAGATACAAAATTTAGGAATTCTGTGTCTGTTATGTTTTCAGTTTTGAAAGGCCCATGAGAAAAATTTCCAAAGATGAAAATGGCATTGCTTCTGACAAACAACTTTTATACTTTTTTCCTAGTTAAATTGACATTTTATTAAATAAAACCAAAACATTATTAAACAAACATATATTTTTCCTTGTAATTCATAAACTGCTTCCAAAACAAGGTTAGAACATGACAGTGAAAAGAAAGAATTCATAGAAATAACCTAACTGTCTTCACTGATTTACTATCATTTACAAGGCAAAACCAACTTGGTTAACTGTTAACTGCTTCAAGATCCTGTACTCATCAGTTGTATAGTGTGTATAAGATTAAAGTGGAGTGAGTTCTTGATTCTGTTTTTACATGTATTTGGTTTCCTCTCTACAGATTCCTCAAACGGTATCAAAACAAGGCATAAGACTGAAAATACAATCCTAGAAATGAGATTTACTAGTAGTGGTTAAAAAACAAAATAGTGGTGAAAAAATTAGTGCACCATTGCTACATTGTTAAAAATTGTCAGCAATAGCTGACTAAATTAAATCAGAAAGCCCTTTAAAACATGAAATACTGTTGATGATGGCTGATCTGGAAATCAACCAGAAGAGAGGGGTGGGGAATACCAATATCAGGAGTCATTCACAGTCTTAAGAGAACATTGGTTTTCAAGGTGAAAACAAACATGAGAAGTTGAATGTGTTTTTATATGTGTAATCATTTAAATTCTATCTAAAATCCAACAATATAGGCCTTCGACCATAATACAGATAAAAGTATAGTATTAGAGACTTTTGGAATTGCTACTTTTTCATTGTCTGTCAGTAATTCTCTCTTAATTTGAAGCTTAGAATTGCAATAATGGCAAGTACTGGTATAAAAGCATAAAGTATGAGGAAATCGACTGTGAACCGGGACAATGCCCCGGGATAGTTTTCTTCAATGAACCGGACGCCTTGAGAGAGAACACACGCAGCATTATTTGCAGTGGAACTGTTGGCTACACCTGTCAAAAGAAACAATTTCTTTAGTAGGTAAATCAGTAAAATTAAAACTCAGACTCTGGTCTCTAACTCATGCCTTAAATACACCTCTCCCTGACATCACTTCCATGAAGAACCATACCCACAGCAGTATTTCTCATCACTGTGGAATAAAACCAGACAAGCCCTATGTTTCTGCAGTTTATCCATGACATACTTTTTGAAGGGAAGAATAAATGGTCACTAGGAGCTCTCTCTTTTGTTCATGCCAAACAAAGATTTATGGCTTTTTAGACACATTATCTAATGTGTCTAAAAGAAGCAAGCTGCCCCATGTAGTAGACTTAGAGTGTTCATATGTGTTGAGGGTTCCAAAATGCAAGAAATGGTGACTATCTGAAAAGCACATTAAAAATGAGGTATTTACTGGTACTAATAGAGTCATGTATTTGTTTTCTAACCATTGTTGATCTTGTAATAAAGAGGTGCAGGAGAGATTAATAGATAAAAATACGTAGCTTTGGAGAGGAGCACCTGGCTACAACACCCCAAATATCTTAAGGTAGATTCAAAGCTGTAAGTTTTGCCACACTAATGTGTATTAGCTACTGACCCTGCCGCCCTGATTGATTCTCTTGTTTTGCAGGTTGTCTTGCTCACAACCAGCAAAGCGCAGCCTGACAGACCCAAGCTGCCCAGTAAATACTATGGAAACCCATTTGAACTGAAGCCTCTCTAGTATTAGAGGAGAAACCTGGTCAGCTTTTTGTTACCTCTCAATACTCCCTCCACTGATGTCTAATCTTAGATTGTGCAATCTTCTTGATGCCCTATTTGTGTAACATTGCACAAAAAAAAAAAAAAAAATCCAGCCTGTAATAAACTTAGCTTCCAAAATTCCTCCAAAGAGGGGATAAGAGAATAGGTGGAAAAGAGGAAGATGGAAGAACTGGAAGAATGAGAAATAATGGAACAAAAGAATCAAATTCTGCTCTAACTTACCGGTGTGGCATTATAGTCTTCACTAATTCGTTAGTTCTTTTTAGCAACTCAAAAGTTACCTTTGGGAAAATAAGCATCAACATCTCATAAAAATTATTTATAATGGACTTTTTTTTGAACACTTACCACATGTGAAGTTTAAGCCATAAAATTCATTGACTACAAGGACTTCACTGCTGTATCTTTGAAATGTAAGAAAACTAAGTAGTTTCAAAGGTGTTGGCATTTCTTCAATGGTCCTTAAAGAAACAGAGAAGTTAAGCTGGCTTTTGCTACATACTAAGAGACCCCAAATTAAAACAAGCCCTCATTGTTTGTAACCTGTGACAAAAACAGTTCTTGTCTCTACCTGTAGGGTTTTCAAACATAAAGTCCAATTTTAGGGCTAAATGATGAGACAGCCATGAAGGCTGTCCCTGACTTTGGTACAGTGTCACAACATTCAGCCCTGACTTGTTTATGAACAGTCACAAAGAATTCTATGGTTGTTTGCTGTTCACATGGCAGTGATAAACTGAAAATGACAAGACCCAATATAAACAAACCTCACTTGCAGAAATGTGCTTTCAAAGTAAGAAAGCACCACCCCCCCTCCATCTTCAAAACCAAGCAATACTGAATAGGAATTCATTGCCGCAATAACAGCAAAGCAAAAATTAAGCAAAAATAATGAGAAGAAACATTCAATAAGACAGGGAAATTTCAGCATCTAACACACTTCAAGACTTATAATTCAACAACAACAACAACAAAAAAACAACAGGAAAAAACCCCAGAAACCAAAGTCTCAATGCTATTTTTACTGTCCTTCATTGCTTATGAAGATTAATCAAAAATATTCACAATATTAGTGAGCAAAGCCTGTGCTGTAAAATAAACTTAGAAACCACTCTAATGCTTTTAACTTATTACTAAAGCATTAGACTACAGTAGCAGGAGTAAATGTCTTTCACTGGAAACACATATCTTCCTGAAATTAGGCAGGGACCAAATAAATAGACATTAACCTAGCTTTATATCATAAGTATGAGCTGAGATCTACTTTAAAGTAGAGACAAAGCATCATCAACTTTGTGAAGATTCAGATGGTTTTCTTGAGGACAACACCATGTGTTGTTAGGCTTACTTAATTTTCATTGGGAGGGTCTCAGGTAACCATATCCTACTTCCTCAAGATCTTAGGAAAACTGCTTTTAACAGTTACACATTATTCTGCTATGTCCCTCAAAAAACCTAGTAATTTCAGTATTGACAAATACAAGGAGAAAACTGTTCAAACTTCATGCAATTAAAACACAAACCCATCTATGTGCACAGTAATAGAGCAAGCGGATCACAATTTTCCTGCATATTTACTACACTACTCAATAATTTTTATAGATTTCAGTCTGTACAGGTAGAAAAAGGGACTGACAAGTTTACTGGCTAAACTGGATAATAACACCAGTAAGACAGTTGAGAGCAACTGCTTTTTTAAACCAGCATTATCAGTGTTTAATGTCATAAGTTCCAGCAGTTACTAAAAAATGTAGGAACAGGAATTTTTCGTGGGCTCCTTTAATGAGGACAGCATTTCACGTCATCCAGTCAGCATCAATAAAATAATTCAGATGAGCTGACATATATTAATTTTTCAGTTTTTTCTTCAATGTATTTGCAAAAACTGAGGGAAATCTTCAATATCTTTGTTGATATCTGAAGATACTAAGTGTCTGGTTTTATGTTTAGTACAAAGCCCAATAAGTAGTTCTGCCTCTGAAGGAGCACAGCTGCTCTTGCTTTTCCATTGCTACCTCAGTGCTTTACTGGATTTCTGCAAAACCAACTCTTCCACATCAATGTTAACAGCAACACTGTAACAAAGATTTTTTCCTACCTTACTAGCCCTGTTCCCATTATCACACCAGCTGAATTAAGTAGCACAACGCCACTTTGGACTATATTTGGGTCTTGAACCATGCCAAGCACAACAAGTGTTAGTAGTTCACCAATCATGTGAGACGCTAGGACAACAGCAAAGAAAACTCCAAATCTGGAACCATCAGGATACAATCCTGTAGTCCTGTACAAAGATGAGCAAAAGAACAGTTAAAAAACAATGTTTGAGTAGTAAACTTGGAAAGTAGCTTTTACTTTTTTTCTATTTGGGCTTTTTGCAGTTATACCTCATTAGGTGAAGAGTTTATGCCTTAATCCTTAGTATATTGTTTGGAATCTAAACACAAAGGATATCCACTTACTATCATTATGTAAGTGCAGATACATGAGGTTTTCTCCATCTAGATTAAAG